TATTTTTGTACATCAAAATAATATAAATTATTTATTTAAAATTTTACCAAAAGAACTAATATATTTTGTCTAAAACTTATTTTAATATAACATTTACATCTGTTTTTTGTAGTTTTTCTAAAATCCATTTAATTTACATTTTTAAACCTTGTTGTTAATAAAGCTAATTTCATTATTTCTGTGTAGTAAAGTAAGCAGGCCAATAGTTGCTGGAGGCTAGGATTCCATGGGTGGTGGTCAGATTGCAGCGTAAATATACAAAACATTTTGAACTCCTCGATGCGATTAATTTGCCGACTTCTTACATAAGTTTTCGGCTTGTTGAGCTGCTGTATCGGCTCATTACAACTATAAATTTACATTCGGGCGTGGGCGTCGTTAGGTATTTTGTATTTTGCTCGAGGAAGGGTTTCATTTTCTGCAAGTTATACGATCAATCTTTTTTGAGATCATAAAGCTTACAATTTTTGAGTTATAGTTGTCTAGCACGATTGGTTCGATCGGTTTAGCAGTTGATTGGGTAATGCATCAAATAAAAAATATTATATTTAATTATTTTTAAGCCCAAATTTTAGATTTTCTAACTTTTTAATAATTGTAATGAAGTTAATCCGTTTATATATTAATTTATAGTTTCTTCAATAGTTTCTTCAATATTATAATAATTCCCTTGCCATTTTGAATCCACCAAATACCCACAACCCACGCCCAAAAGAGCTGATCATGGTTGTCTGCTACAAAATCAGTTTAATAAGCTTTTATATGTAATTATGCATTTTCCACGTTAATTGCTATGAAAATCCGCGACTGATTCCCACAGTTTTCCCACCAACCTGCCGCTCAGATTTTTCCACATCCCGGCCAAAGGTGATGTGGCATGCGGCAGCAGGAGGTCGCTTTTCGTGGCCGCCTGGGCAGTTTTTCATGTCGCATATCTCATAAATATAAATGACTGAATTTTTCCGCAATTTGTCGCACACAAAACAAATTTCATTTTAATTGAAAATTATGCCAGAGCATTAACATGAGCAGCGATTTAATGCATTCTGTAGGGGATTTCGATGATGATGATGTTGTAGCTTGAATTTATGGATGATTCTGAAGGCTATAAATTTATGATGTTTTTTTTAAATAAAAGTTTTGGTAGAACCATCTTAGAAACAATGGGGTTAAAAGTATGTGAGGCAGATATTTTATGAATATTAATATAAAGAATCAACAACCTGAAACCCATTATAAAAAAGGGAAATATGTGACAAATTGTCAATACATTTTTTGGGGGAAAAACTTAATCGGATTTGAGCTTGGCATTCCAAATTTTTTCAACAAAAACTTATCGACTTGGGCAGCCGATTTGCATGTGTCAGCTGGGCGGTCCGCCGTTGTTTGTTGGCCTGGTCCGATTCCGTTTTCGATTCCGAATCCGATGTGTTGGCTGACAGCCGCATAAATTGTTTTCTCATGTGTGCCAAATGTTTGACTTACGCGCAAAAATGTTTGCGCAGGTAAATCTTTTGTGTGTGCACCACCGGATTGGGTCAAATTTTTTGTCTTTTCGGTTTTCCGCAAGAGCATTTATTGCATTTGTTGCTAGCCATGCATATAAATCAATTAATTTGAACACGAAAATGCATTGCGTGCGGCGATGCTGGGGCGAAGTTATTTCCTACACCTGGTCAATTCGCAACTATTTAGCAGCTTTTTTTTGGACCACATTGCAGAATTATCAGCACGGTCAATTATGCACACTTGGTGATGGAAAGATAAGAGGAGCTGCGATTTTTATTTTACTTATTTTATTATTCTTGTTATTTTCATGTGTCTTTAAGAATAAAAATAAAAATGCAGTAAGTGCATATTCTTTAAAATAATATATATTTTTATTCTTTCTACCAAACAACATTTTTGCGTATAAATTGAAAAACATTTTCCTTTACTCATACACATAAATACTTATCTGCCTGTCTCTCGCAATAATTGAAAAGCATTTGCATTCGAATGGCAAATCGTTGGCTATGGCTAAAACATCTGACAATTTGCCCAAAGCGGATGTGCCGAACAGCAGCTGAAAGGTTATTTGCCAGTTAGTTGAATGCATTACGTATACGCCGCGTTGGCTCCGAGCGACTGATTTGTGCGGACGCCAAACAGACGGATGCTTGGCTCGGTTAATGTGAGTGGGAAGCCATTCATCGGGATGATGATGGGCTCAAACTCCAACTGGAGGGCCTGGGGCGCATTCTTGCATCCATTCATGGGGGAGAAGCCTTCGCCGCCATTACAGGCAACTTTCAAAATTTAGATGGTAGACGAGTGGAGTGGTTTTAGAAGGAATCACTAGACACCCACATTTGAGTCTTTGTATTTTGTTAAAAAAAAAAATACATAAGTATATAAACAATTTAAGCAAATATTACAGTTTTTTATGCTGGTTTTAACTGTAAAGATTGTTTTAAAAATGCAGAACTTTTATATATATATATTAGGGTGGGTCGATTTGGGACCCCAAAAATCGTATAGGGGGAACGTAATCTTTAAAGGATTCTAAGCCATATTGTCGAACATACTTATGGTCTAAAATGATGTTTGACCCCCCCCAAACGCGAATGAAAAATACTGTTTTTTTTGAGAAAAATATCATAGTAGTCAGCACATTTATAGTACTGAATATCAATTTCAAATTTTTATTTTAAATTTAATAATACATCTGAGCTGACTACTATGATATTTTCCTCAAAAAAAGCTGTATTTTTCATTCGCGTTTGGGGGGTCAAACATCATTTTAGACCATAAGTATGTTCGACAATATGGCTTAGAATCCTTTAAAGATTACGTTCCCCCTATACGATTCATCACTTTTTTCGGCCCCATACAAATCGACCCGCCCTAATATATATATTTACAAATTTGTATTCATTATCCTAATGAATTAGCCATAGAATTCCACCCCGAAAATTTCTAAGATAATTCAAATTATTTCTATAAAAGATTCTAAAGGTTCTCTATTCAAATTTGCTTCCCACTATTAACTGCTTCTTATTTATTTCATATTTCTAAAAAAGGTTCTCCAGTCAAATATGCCCCCTCTCTAAACGGCTTTTTATAATTCTTCCGCAATAAATCAGAAAATAAAATAATTTAAATTTTTTCTAAAAAACGTTCTAGGGGTTCTCCAGTCAAATATGCCTCCTCTATTAACCGATTCTATTGGGTATCTTTTACCATTGTCAACACTTTGACATTTGCCTAGACTCTCAGTTATGTTCGCCCGTGTGGGCAACCACTTTTAACATGAAAGGTTTATTAATATCCAAGTAATAATCGAACACAATGCCGGAGAGTGACTGTTAATTAGAGGCGAGCACAAATCGCACCTCATTGAAATGGCAAATGGGCAAATATCGGAAGGCAGACGTTAGACTGCAAAAAGGCGGATTGGTTCGCATAGCCTTCGCTTTGGTCGCTTAATTTCGCTCTTTTTATTGTCTGCATATATTTTTGCTTTGCATTTGCAAAATGTCGTGCAGCATTCGGTTGGTTGTGTTGTGTATTTATTTTCGGGGTGCGGACTTGGGCAACCTTCAAAACCATGCAAATGTCAAATGCCAAATATAGTAGAACTTTCCTGTCTGGGCGAATGTCGATTGCCATGAGTCGGGCCAGAAGTTTGGAAAGTATTCCCAGGCGGCAGCGTCTTCAAATGCGATTGCCGCAACTTACCGCGACTCATAAATAACCTGAACTTTTGCAGCGGAGTCTGGCTAATAAAACATGCGAGTATTTCGTATGTTGGTGTTAGCTGTCTGTGGATTTTGCAATTCGCAGGCTCTTCCCATCGCCAGCAAAAAGTTACGCATGCGCCAAGTGGCCAAATGGATTGCCACCCGATGGAAAGACTGACACACCAAAAAAATAAAATACAACGCCGTTTCGAACGCAGTTTTTGGCTTGCGGTTTTGTCAGCCAGCGCTTGACACATCAAGGCAGGCGTTCGGTTTGCCTCAACGCCGACTGCATCCCGCCTCCGCCTTTACGAAGTCAACGAAGTACAGTGGAACCCCAATAAAAAAGATTTAATAAACCATACATTTTTGTAAATTATTTTTGAGGATACATTATTTTGGTTTTTTTTTATAAACATACTTTGAAAATACGTTGTACCTAATATTTTAAATCCTAATTTTTCCCTATTTGTCATTAAAAATGAAAGCTAATAATATTGCTAGGATAACAGCACAAAAATACCATTTATAAAATATCCATATATGGAATAGATCGCACGATATCAGAAGCGAGTTTAAACTTCGTTGTCGATAATATATAGTATTAATAAGTTTTCGTTAGTGCATTCTACCTGTACCTATAAAAGAATACGTATATGTACATCAATGCGACGGCGTTGTCGTGTAATCTGCTAGAATTTATTGCGCTTAACTGGCATTTTTATGTGTGTAATTCGATTAACTAAATCCATGCCAAAACAACTTGTGCCAAGCCAGCCTTGTTGCTCTGACCATAAAAAATAGTTCTTGTTGAGCATATTGTTTGGGACAATACTCTATGCTTTACTTTTATTATTATTTTTTGTTTTATTAGTTAAAAAAAAATGGATGGATGATTAATAAATCTTTGGCAGTCATCTGGTACTTTATCAAATATGACAAAAGGACAGACAAGTGATTGATAAATATATCAATACGAATACGTAAATGCCAATAATTATGATATATGGGATCTATATTATGGGTAATTGAGATTTTAGTGTCGATAAAGTCAAATTCTAAAAAGGGAAATAATTGAAAATAAGCAAAACTTATTTATTTGAGATATTGAATAAAAATTAAATTAACAAAAAAATCGCAAGTGTATTTTAAGATTCGTCGATGTCAGTAGTGCATCTTGTAGGTAACTCCTCTTCATCCTCTCTACTTAGCATGCGAGCCACATAAATATTGTGGGAATTTTTGATTTATGGCTAGGGGATTGTCTTCACAGCTTACCAGTAAATAATAAATATCCACAAATGATGATGAACAGAAAAGTTATCCTCGGCAACATGTTGCTGCTGTGTCGGCTGCTTGTAAATATTGCTTTTCCTTTTTGTTTTTTGCGGGATGCTGTTCCTTTTTCTCTTTTTTTTCGACTACCTCCACTTGAGTTTGATTTACGTATATGTTGTGTTTCTTTGACCTTTTGCCAAGTTTGTTTGTTTGTTAGCTAAGCACTCGCACTTACTTTCATGCACTTGAAACCGATCGACAAGGCAACAAAAACCGCGTGCGGTAAAGCGATTTAACGACTCGTTAGTTTTCGCTTTAAGAAACAATTACAATCAATTCGTTTTTATTAGCAACTGCCGTCGCCGCAGACAATTTTTTGTGATTGCTGCTGCTGCACTCGTTTGTTTTTTCCTAGTTGGAATATGGAAAATGTAAAATCGAGCCACACCAAAGAGCCAGAAGAGATTGCCTCAAATTTGCATGGCCTATAAAGCAGTTAAGTCGAATGTGGGGAGTGTGTTGCTCAATAGGCCGCCAAAATAGCGGGCGGGTAAAAGCTTCACGTTGCTGCACAGTTGCTGTTGCTGCTGCAATTGCTTCAGTTTTTCTTTATTTTTCCTATTTTGTTGTTTAGCTTTTCCTGAGACAATGGAGTACACGAATATGGCACAACACACAAATGTGGCCGGGGACAATAATAATACAATCTCGTACTCGAACTCGTACTGTGTGGACACACTTTTCTTGTTTCACTTCTATTATTATTATTATGGTCTGTAATTCTGGGGCTCTATTGATCGAATCGAGTAGTACAACCGTTCAACCAGACGCTTCAACCTCAACTGACTGCAATTGTTGTTGAATACTTGGCGGTCTACCCAGAAACCACAAGATTCACTCTACTGGTGGAGTGAAAAACCACTGTAACTCAGTTTTGAGTGGTGTTTTGAGCCCCGTTTCGAACTCGTTTGTCGTGCCTCCAAAACAAAAAAAAATCTTTATGTTCAACTTGAGCGCGCACTCGACTAGCTTACTTTTAATTGTACTAACTAGCTCGATCTACTCTGCTCTGATCTTACGCAATTGCCAATTGCCCGATGAATCACGAAAAAGTTCGCAGTCTAGAGAGCCCCGAACCCTATTTTGGGCAACCTTCGAGGTGGAAAAACTCGTCGTCACAAAAGAACAAAAAGCCAGCCACCTAGGCCGTCGTCGCAGCTTCTAATTAATAGTGTAATTAAGTTTTTCTTTTCATATTTTTTAGTTTTTGGTGCTTGGCTAGAGCGGAAAAGCCTTTGCTGAATGACACTTTGTTGCTTTTTGGGGGCCTTTCATTTTTTGGAGGTTTTCTGCAACTTTTTGTTTTTTTTTGGCAGCATTAGAAGTGGCAGCGCTTAACTATACTCACTTTAATAATAAATCTTTCGAAAGGAAAAATTTCCATTCAACAGACAAACATTTTTATGAGCTTACATTTTATTGGCTACTATAAGTTTTATACTTACGATTGTCATTAAAAATTTACTTATTTAATTTCGTCTTACAAACTTTTGTTATTTTACTTTCGAAAATAAACAAAACTATGGCGTTCCCTGAACCCAATCTTAATAAGATTTCTATCCATTTAAGCAACGAGATCACAGATATTTGTAACGTTTAATTTAGGTTTATTTAGGGTAAAACCTAAAAAAAAAATAAAAAAAATGGAAAATAATTTAGTGATACCCAAATGTAAAATGTATGATTTTTATAAAGTTTCTCAATGATAATCATTATTTTTAGGTTTTATAATAAACATAAAAAAAAATTTTCAGACTTAAAAAATAAGATTAAATATTTAAAGCTATTTTTCTTAGTGTTCTGGCCTAGAGCATCTTGAACGCAAACTGTTCTGCAGTTGACCTTGTACTGCAGGTCTTTGGCTGGCAAAGAATGTGTCTTGGTCGGGGCGGGCAGTCTTCTTGTGCTAAACCAAGAGTCTTCTGCTTTTGGCCTGGACCCGCATTTTAATGAACTTAATGGAGACACAAAGAAGGACTTTTGGGAGGGGCAAGTGATATACCATGTGCCATGCGCCGACCAGCATTCGCAATTAGCCTTGTACAGATGGTTCCGATCGAATTGCTGGCATCAGTCACTCAGTTCGGACAGTTGGGTTCAATCTTGGGTGATGTCGGTAGGCAAGTAGTAGGCAGGCAGTCGGCAGCAGAGCACCTCAAGGCCTCCCACATAAATCATAATCACATTAGCCCCCGTCCGGCCGGATTGAGGCGTGCAGAAATCGCTGTTCGTTCGCTTCCCCCATGGTTAATTGCAAAAATAAATACAAGAAAAGCGTACTCAAATTATGTATTATATAAAACGAGAAACAATTATTAATGGCAAGAGCCAAAGAGTCGCGACTGGGCATTACGCAGCCGATCTGAGCCAAGTTGAAACAGACGAAAAGCTGGCTAACGAGGCGGCGCAAAATGCTACCAAATTGCGTGTCCGGCGGAGAGTCAGTCCGATTGTCTGTAATTGATAAACTGGCCAAAATGAACTGTCTGTTTGTCTGGCCATCCGTTTGCGACTGAAGCCGACTGAAGTCGGCTTATTTAACCGCAAAGTTTATTAAACAAAAATTTATGTTCAATCAAATTGAAAATTGCGTTTAATAATCGCATTTGCACGCTGACTTTTTTGTTGTAACTTTAATTGCACACTAATAGATTTAATGTTTCTGCCAAGTGTTATATGAAATCATTGTAGAACTGCCGAAAGATCCATCAAACGAAGCCGACAAGGTTATGTAATCTCCAAAGGCATATTAAATCAATGTCTACCACCGAGCTGATCAAGTTATGACAGCGTTTATCTCTCGCGGAGTCCATAAAATGATGGCAACTATTTCAGAGTGATTGATATTTTTTGGATTGTTGGCCAGTTGCCCAGTGGATTTATGATCAAGCACTAATCACACATCAGCCCGAGGCGAATTTAATGTTTCTTAATTATATTTATGGTAATAAATAATAGTTATTCTTTCTAGAAAAGAAGGGGGTGTCCTTTGGTTTGAGATCTATTTGTTTTGCACTAAACTGTTTTTATATCGTCCATAACTTCTTGATTATATTAATGATTTAACATCCGCTTTCTCAACACTCATTGACCGTAAGTAGGTATATAGCTTTGTTTTCAATTTGTTAAGTGGATTAATCAATCTTAATTGATGGCTTAAATTTGTAGTCCATTTTTTATGATTATACTTTTATTAAAGAAAACAAATTACCTTTTTTTATGTCTTACTAATTTTATTATTAAATCAAATATTTTTAAACTATCTCAGTTATTCGGAATGAAAAAATGTGTTATTATTTTACTTCAACCCAAGTCTTATAAATATGGCTTATAAAATGATGAATTCACACAACAACTTTTTTTTATCGTTAGACCATTATTAAAGGAATTTTTATGGGATAACAAAGAGAATTTCTTAGTATGGTTTTTCATAACTTAAAATGCCAATATACTTTTGAAAAATATTTTGCCATTAAAACTAATTGGCGAGGCCTGAATGTGAATTTGAATTGGGCTGGGGACTTTTGATAGACAAGGTAAACAATAGAAATGTCTATGTCGATTTTAGGCTCTCGAACTCGAACCCAAACCCTTGACAAGGTCAGCTGAATTGATTTCACATTGCCCCAAGCGACGGGAATGGCAAAACGATCCGAGTTTCGTTTTAATGATGTGCCAGATTCGGGCTCCTACATGGTTTCATTTACACGACAACTCTTGAGATTGGATCGCTCGATGGATGCCCTTTTATGGCAGAACGGGCCGTTGGCGCGAACTTGCCTGTCATCTGCTACAAATCAGCTGTCATAAGCCCGATCCGATCCGAGTCGGGCCAGCATTATTTCGGTGATTTTTACAATCACTTTTAAAAACCCAACTAACAGCCAAACAATCTTTGATAATGATCATTGCCACTCGACGAGTGGCGAGGAAGATGATTGCGATTAGGAGCAAAAGAAGAAGCAGTGTTGTCCGTTTAAATTAACAACTAATAACGGTTCACCCAAAAGAAACTACAAAAATATCGTTAAAATATAAAAATCCTAAAGAAATTATTGTTTAATTTTTAAATTTTTTTTTCCTGTTGGTAATCGCTATTTTTATAGCAATTTTTAAAGAGATTTATTGACAATATAAATAATATTTTATAAGCAGGATCTCATTTATACATCTAAATCTATTTAGTTACCAAAAAAAATTATTTAAAAATACCATGCAAAAATATTAATATAAGGTAACTTCTATAAGGTTTTTAAGATTTATAAGAAAAAAATTGAACGGTCAACACTAAGAAGAAGTTGCCACCAATTGCCTGCGATTGGGCAATTCTCAATTAAATCTCGAGACGCTCGCTCCTCTCCATTCACCTGGAGAGTTAGTTAGGTGAGGTCGGGTTAGGTGGCGACCACTGGCAGCGCGGAGTCATTAGAGTGTGCAGCGGATTAATCTGCATGGCGGCTATCTTCATCCACTAACCACCGGCATTTACCCCTGCCTCTTGTATCTTTCATTCACAGGTGGTTCGAGCGGCCAAGCAAAAACTGACCGACTATGCCGCCGAAACGCTGGCCAGCATTTCCAAGCGTTTCTGCCACCTGCACGGCCTCCTCCAGGTGGCCGAGCTGCAGGTCATCGAAAAGCTGCGCGAGTCCAGTCTGCCGCCGCAAATGGAACTCAACGAAGCCATGGGCACTCTGAGTGGCTACGAAACTGTGATCAAAGTGGGTTGATACACTATATATATTTAAATAATTCCATCCTTTAATAAATTCATATATTTAACAAATAGCGTTTGAAACAATGGTTGGAGAGTGGAACCGAGAGCAACATGGGTGTGCCAAACGAAGTATCCCTAAAGTGGCTGATCACACTGGTTGGCGAGCATATGGAGAAGTTTCCCACGACTGTGCAGGTCAGCAAGATTGAGGAAAATCCTTACAGGTATGCAGAAAACAGTGACGCTGATTTTTTAACTCCAATATAACTTTCATACTATTTCAGAGTGACCTGTAGCCGTTTCATGGACATGTCCAACATTTTCAAGTGCGAATTTGTGGACCCCAAGATTCAGGTTCAATTCAAGAACGATTTTAGGATTAACCGCAACATTTCAGCGGCAAACAACGAAGACTTGACCTTCTCCAAGTCTTCCTGCAGTGGCAAGGAGAACAACATCCTCCAGCCCAATGTAATGTCGAGTCAAAAGTCAAACCAAATGACGAAGAGTCAAAAGAAACGGGCCAAAAAGGCGGAGAAGGCCAAATCCAGTCTGGATTCGACTGCTGCCACCACTGATGAGTATCCAGCGAGGGATTTGGATTTGGTCCTGAACTTCTCTGCACTGGATATCACCAAACCAAACATGACAAACTCTTCAACAACTTCAAAGACCGCGGACAAGAGCGATTGGTTCAAGACCGATGCGCTGGTTAAGGTGCGCTCCGTTAATTCGCCCGAGGATTTCTACGTTCAGGGCGTCCATGCCGCCCAGCGATTGCGCGAGGAGTTGGACACATTCTACCAGACGCTCACGGAAAGCCGCTCCACGCCGAAGTCGATCGTATTGGGCCAGAATTACATAACCTATCACAAGGATCAGGATCGCTTCTATCGCGCCATGGTCAGCCAAACGCTGACCCCCCGGGATATCTACAAGGTCTTTCTGCCGGACATCGGCCTTTACGTGGAAGTTCACAGCAGCAAGTGAGTTTTCTTTGATAACCGGTAGAGCCCTGCATGAATGGATTAAATGAAATTTTGTATATGAATGAATTAATTCGAATTTTAAGTTTAATAGAATTGAATGAGTTTGAATTTTGAGTTTAATAGAATTGAATGAATGAATAGCATGAATTCCGAAATAATTCAAACGACAATTTCTTTTGAAGAAGAAAGGGTCATAATTTAAATCTGCCTAAATTTTATTTACTAAGCAGTTAACATTGATTATTTAAAAATTTTCCACTTTTTGTTCTCAAAAGAAAGCACAAATAAAAACTGGCAAATTCAAAAAATAATTCAAAGATCATTAATTTATTCAACTCGAAATGAATTAGAAAAACATTCAATTTATTTTACATAGAATTGAATTAAACAAATCAGAAATTTCATGGCATACTATGATAAAACAAAAATTGAATGATTCAACAGGTCTCAGTTATTAACTGATGAATTTCTTACTGAAACTTGACCATTCCTTGCAGCTTTCGTGAGATGCCCGAACGTCTGGCCCACTTGCCCTACGCTGCGGTGCACTGCAGCCTTAGGGAGCTGATGCCCAACCATGGTGGCTCCGAATGGGATACTAGGGCCAGCGCCTTCCTGAAGCAGATTGTGCAGAAGTAAGCAAATCGAAGAGGTGTTTGGAGTATTATTAATCCAATGACTGCTTGCAGCAATCCCGTGCACGTGGTCGTGAAGAGATCTCTGTCCCAAGTCCAATATGAGGTGGATCTTATCACGAGCAACTACAGTACCGACATCTCCGTGCGCGATTCTTTTTTATACGCTGGCCTGGCGCGCTCCCGCTGCGGCCGAGCGCCAGCCATTGGCCACCAGTGGCTGCAGCCTGCTCCGACCATGCTGCGCCTGCCCAGGATGACGTTCCAGTTCGGGGACGTGCTCATGATCCAGATGCTGCATGTGGAGGATCCGCAGGAGTTCTACGTTATGCGCCACGACTTCGAGTCGAAGCGCTGCCTGCTGCAATCCAGCCTGCAGGCATCGATGGATCGGATCAACATTAGCCAGCTGCAGAACATTTTTCTGGGTCGTCTCCATCTCGGTTGCGTGCTGCAGTCGGATGGCCAGTGGAAGCGCGCTAGCATCGAGCAGATTCTACCCGATGGTGAGTATAACTTTATCAAAAGAAATATATATTAGATCCCTGCATGAACGGATTCAATGAATTATTTTGTTTTTTTTGTTTTATATAGATAACAATAACAAAAATTGAATGATTCACGCAGAACTGTAATATATATAAACTGAACTAAATCCATAAATGTTTTTATATCTTTGTAGGGTACGTTCTCGTGCGCCTGGTCGACGATGGTCCCAGCCAAAAGGTCTTCTGGGACCAATTGTTCGTGCTGCCTCAGAACTTTTGGGACACGGAGCTGGCCATCAAGTGCTGCCTGGCGGATGTGGAGACCCGCGCGGAGCTGGCCTACATGTGGACCTCGGAGGCGACGGCCTCCTTCAAGCAGCTCACCTCAAATCCCAAGCTCCACATGGAGGTGATCCGTTCCACGGGGGATGTGGTCTATGTGGCATTAAATTTCACTCGTTCCGGTTCCGAGACCACGAGCGTTGGCGTGCAACTGGTTGCCCAAGGGTTCTGCACGTCGAGCGGGGAGAGCAGCAGGATGATCAATCCCACCGAATCCTCCCGAACCGTTCGCATCGACGTGGAGACGCGCAAGTTTATGGCTCAGCAGAAGGGACAGCCCGTGGAACTGGCGCCCTACCAGAAGGCCGATAAAAACGAGCGCAACAAGCGGGTGAATGTCACCATTCTTCACGTCCGTCGGCCGGATGAGTTCTATGTGACCCTGCCCCATTTCCAGCCGGCCATCGAGCTGCTGCAGAAATCGGTGCAGGAAACAGCGGCAGCAATGTATCAGGATATGATGACCAGGACCAATTGGCAAGTGGGCGAGATGTGCTATGTGCGAGTCCAGGCCAAGTCGGATTCGCAGCTTCTATGGCATCGTGGAGTTGTGACGAAGGTCATCACTCCTGCCAGTGGTAGCGAATTGGTACGCTACCAAGTGCAGCTCAGGGATTTGGGTGAGCTGGTCGACGATGTCTTCAGCCGCTGCCTGGCCACCATTGACGAGACCAACATGCGCATCTCGAACAGCGCCAAGCGTTGTCACCTCCACGGAATTCGGCCAGCCGGTGATGGTTGGTCTGAAGATGCCATCGAATTCTTCATGGATCAGTTGCAGGCCTTCGACGAGATTTACGTTACAGGACATGGCCACACGGAGAACTCTTTGAGCGTGGTCCTTTGGGGCTCCCACACCATAGTCAGTGGACCCTTTGCGCCTGCGCGAACAAAGTATGTGAATATCAACTCGACCCTGGTGATGGCCGGCATGGCAGAGAAGGATTCGGGTGCAGATAACGAGGACGAGCAGTCGATTAGCGTTCGCTCCACGGGCACCGCCAAATCCATCGACATTAAGGCCTGGCAATCGTATATGGAAAAGATTGACAAGATTGGCAGGGGAAAGAACGCGAATCCCTCGGATTTGCCGAGGGTAAAAGCTGGCTTCGAGCACAACGAAGAGATGCCAGCGCTGGAACTGCTCGAGGATTTGGGCAAGGCCAACCCAACGACTGGCCAGACGACACCACCGGCCGCTTGGACAGCGGCACGTAAGTGCGAGAAGACCATCTTCACGGCCATCGCCACCAATGTGAGTTACGAGTGCTGCATCTACTTGACTTTGGCCAACGATAAGCCTTTTATGGACCACATGCGCAACCTGCTGGTTCGGAAATACAAGCCGCTGATGAAGAAGCAGCAAGAACGCGGCACTTCTTATACCTACGAGGTGGGACAACCGGTGCTGGTCACCTATCACATGGACAACCTTATCTACCGCGGAATAGTGCAGCGCTTAAAGAACAATCACGATGAGTACACGGTGTACTATGTGGACTATGGCAACATGGAGCAGGTGAAAGCGGATGAGATGCTGCCCTATGCTCCGTTCCCAGAACTGAACGCCATGTGCTTCCTGGTGACCATACACGGCGTGCGATCGAAGCGCGGAAAGTACTCCATAAAGGAAATGGACACGGTGCACCAGAATGTGGTCATGAAGCTGAGCAGTGTGCGTGTTGTGGATGCCAAGGAAGTGGGTTCCAAGAAGATACCCACATGCCAGATCAAGGTGGGCAATCTGGACATTGCTACCATGATGATAGACTGCGGGATTTCCGTTTCAACCAATGAAAAACAAGAGAGCAAAAAGAAATCTATATTCTTACCTACGCAAAAAGCTCTCGAAGAGTTTAAAGTATTCGATGAACTGGATAACCTGGCTTCGGGGGAAGGAGAATTATCAGACGATGAAAGGCCTCCAACTCGACGTAAAGACCAGACCCTTTCATCTCCGCCCCCAAAGAAAAAGTACCATATTGACAGCAAGGAGGTGGAAGCCTTCGAGTGTGATCAGGATTTCGATTGCCAGGAGGCTGCGGAGCAAATGTACCACAACAATAGTTTCTATTTTACCGACTTAAATAAGTTTGATGGCGAAAGCGGCGCAGATGAATCGGGTGCAGAAGATGAAATGTCATCCATTTCCTCTGAGAGTAATCATAACGAGTTGGAGGCGAATCCTCCCGATGGCAGTCAGTTGGAGCCGCTCAATTCCTTGGCCGCTGGCCAGTTGAAGCGCCGCATTGAACTGCGTCAAAAGGTAAAACTTTTTGTTTATAAAATTATTTAAATAATCTATAAAGAAATCTATTTTTCATGTGAAGGAAATGAAGGACAATGTGAGCTTTTCCCCCTTGGACACATCTACGGTGAGGTCTTACTACGATGCCAGTGGCAGCTTCAAGATACTAAATCTCCCCAGTGGAGTAAAGCAGTTCCAGTGCACCGTGGATAGCGTACTCTCGGCCACGGAGCTGCAGATAGCACCATGCCTCACGGAATTCACCAAGTATGACATCAGTTTGGTCCAAGAGACGAGCGCTTTGATCAAGGATGCGGAACCGCTAAATAAACCCAGTGTGGGCGACTTGTGCCTGGCCCGCTACTCGAAGGACAAGCAGTGGTATCGCGCCATCATCAAGGAGATTCCTACGGCCACTCCTCCAACCACTCCACAGGCCACCGTGTTCTACATCGATTTCCATGACACCGAGAAAGTTCCGTACAAACACCTCAAGGTGATGCCCAATCAGTTGTTCATGTTCCCACTGCGCTCCTTCCGCGTCAAGCTGCACGGCGTGAAGAAGAACAAGAATTTCGGGGACAAGTCGGTGCGCCAGGCACTGCAGGCCTGCCTCTGCAAGCATCCGCTGGTCTTTGCCCGGGTCCACTATCCACTCAACTACCATTCCAACAAGTTCGACCGTTCCGACAGCGAGTCCGATCTCATCGAGGTGGAGCTTTTCGAGAATAAACACAAGAAGAAGCTCGTCTACCAATCTCTGTGCGAGAATTGGATGTTACTGAAAACCAAATAATGTGGCGAAATGCCAACAACAATTCAAAAGATATTATTAATTTAATTTTAAAGCGCTTAAAGGATGCGCACTCTTAATCAAAACGACTATTTCAAAACTACATAAATGAATATGTACTACAGTATTACTTTATATTTTAATTTACTCAACTATTAAATTTAATCGAGTTTTCATAAATAAATTTAAATTTCATTTCATGATATTACTACTTTAAATTTATGTTTTATTATTGATATAAAAGCTTCCTGTTTTGAAGTTGTCTTTCAATCTTTAATTACCAAACTACATATTTATGTTGAAACCAGTTACTAAAGCAACCTGTAAAATGGAACAATTCTGGATGTCTGCCTGGATCTATGGCCCCTCTTTCTTTTCCATTGGTAAGCAAATAGTAGTAGTAAAATCAAAACATCAAAAGGCAATAATTGTTTTGTAATTATCCATAAATTGAATTTATTTCCTCCATAGAATGGGATTCTTCCATTAGTTCTCATTGAAATTTGTATTGTAAGTTGTAAATATTTTAAAATTGTTTTGTTTTCATTTGTTTGTTTTCGTTATTATGATGCATACATGCATGTATTGTGAAATTTCATTTATACTTAATGTTGTGTTCACTTAACGCTAGGAATTTTAACTAATTACTGCATTAAACCATTGAAACAATCCTTTAAAATAGCCTAGAGAAGTTGCAACTACTATAAATCAAGAATATGCTACGTACATCGAAATTGTTTATCCAATATGACAGTTGTGTTCACTTACGTTCGATTGCTGGCAGAGAGTTGTCTCTTTAATTAGAAAAATACAAATTATATAACAAGTTGTTAGATGGGTGTTCGTTTTCTGTGTATGTGTCCTTCGCATAGAATGTGCTCAAGTTTTTAAGACCAATTTCGGCTAACTTAAATTAACTAGTATGCTTTCGAGTGCATAGATAATGTAAATGAATAAAACTTAATGCGAACTAAACTACAGAAATGAAACGTATCGCGGCATATAGTAATTAATCGATGTATATTGCACTGAACTAGGTATGCCATTTCACTAAAGTGGATTTAAAACTAAAACCTAAACGGGATTAAAGCGGTTGACGCGAATTGCGATTCGAATCGAGAGGAAGAGAACGGGGGGAACACTTTCACATTTAGCTACGTTCTTTAAACCACATCCAAAATGTCTGATTAGTAAAATGTAATTATTGTGATAATTGTTTCTTGTTTGCTTATTCAACAAGAGTTGGCAATCGCATATGTAAACTAAATATATATAGAGCGATAAGTAATACTAATTTGTTTTGTTTTGTTTTGTTTAAACCACAGACACACACAGTACACACAGAGATGAGTCATAAACAACTACCTAGGTAATGATTATATTAAACTTTAGTTCGATTAGCGAGCACCCTTAGGCCTCCACGGTGAACGGATCGCGCGAATGGTGGATCTTCAGATGCTTGTTATGGTTGGTCTTCGTGGTGGAGCTCTTGCCGCAGATGGTGCAGGTGAATGGCCGCTCGCCGGTGTGCATGCGCCGGTGCTCGATCAGATAGTAGTGCCGATGGAAGGACTTGTCGCACTGGTCGCAGGTGAACTTCTTGGTGCCGTGATGCTCGCGCCGATGCCTCATGTAGTTGTACTTGCGTATGAACTTGCAGCCGCAGTACTCGCACGTATACGGCTTGATCTGCTTGTGCGCGTTGATGTGGTTCTTGAAGTCCAGCTCCCGCACGAACGCCTTGGGGCAGTACTCGCACTTGAAGGGCTTGGCCGTCCGGTTGGCGTGGACCCACGAGTGGATCTTGAGATTCCATTTGGTGGAGAAGCTCTTGCTGCAAATGGCGCAGTCGTACTGCGGCTCCGTAGAGTGCGTCGCCATGTGCGCCTTGATCGACGTCTTGGCGAAGATCTGCTTGCACATGGGGCACTCCATCGGTTCGGCGTAGTCGAACTTGTCGGAGTGGGCCAGCCGGATGTGTCGGCGCAGCGAGTTGGCGTGCACGAACCGATCGCAGCAGTAGGGACAGCACTTGGGCTTCAGGTCGTGCGTCTCCTTGTGCCACAGGAAGCGCGCCTTCGAGGGCAGCACTTCGCCGCAGTGGCACACGTACTCCTTCTTGCGCACCATCATCTTGGTGTGCCGCTTGCGGTGTTGCGTCAGATTCGAGTAGCGCTTGAACTTTTTACCTGTATTGCGTACAAAAGATATCAGTTTTTTCTTTCACCCACAAATATTGTTTTCAACTCACCGCATATCTTGCACTTGAGTGGCGTTTGGCCCGTGTGCATTCGCATGTGCTCAACGAGGGCGCTGCGCACCACGAACTTCTTGTCGCAGACGTAGCATCCAAACTCCTTCCAGCCCAAGTGTCGTTTGAGGTGCAATGAAAAGTTCTTCCAGCGGTAGAACTTCTTGCCGCAGGTGAAGCACTCGGCAGGATGCTCGGTGAGATGAGCGTCGTAGAGTTTGACGGATGGAAAGTCCGTGCGGCAAACGTAGCACAGAAAGATCGACTTCTCCATGGCCTTCTGCTCGAGTTCGCTGAGATTGTTGCGCTCCTGGCCGAGCTTGGACTCGTTGTAGGCGATGAGCATGCGATACAAGGCGGCCAATTTGGCAGCCGGCGTTGTCATGGCCAGCGGCGGCAGCGTGGGCTTCTCATCCAACTGGCTGGGTGGCTTAATGTCGCCGTCCACATCCCCATCACCATCGCCACCACCGATGCCCAGCAGCTCCGAGTCCTTGACATCCGCCAGCAGTTCGGAATGGGCGTGCATATGCTCCACATCCTGCTTTTCCTGGCACTGCTCCTGTTTTATCTTGACTATGCCATCCTTGGAGTCCTCGTGTACACCCTCGCCTGCCTGCAGGATCATCTGCTGCTGTTGCGGCGGCAGCATCGAGGCGCTGACCTGCGGCTGAGTGCAGATGAGCCGGCGGTTCTGACGCACGTAGTTGTGCTCGCCAATCATGTGCGCATTGCGCTCTTTCAGCTTCTCGAAGATCGCCTCGCAGTGGGGACACTTGTAGAGCTTGCGGCGCTGCGGCTTCCGTTGAGCGAGAGCAGCCGCCTCCGCTGCCGCCTCTGCGGCAGCCCGCGATGTCGAAGCTATTGGTGGACCCGCCAGCAAAGCCGATGACGTGGACGCGGAGGAGGTGGCCGCAGTTGGGACGACATCTGTTAGGTGACTCTTTCGTGAGCTGGACGAGGCCTCATCGTCAACCGCATTAAAGTCGAAACTGTAAGTGGTTGATGGAATATATTTTTAGTTTTAAATCACTTTCAAATTAATTTATCAGGGTTCGGAAAATAACACACACTGTAAAAAACTTGTGTTATTATCATGTTAAATATCAAAGTGTTAAGTTAAAAAAAAATTAATGACTTGTGTGTAAAAAATTGTATCCCACATGTCATTCGTGTTTTTTACAACTCGTGTTTAATGCACGACGTGTTTTTTACACAGCGTATTTTTAACACAATGAGTTTTGTAGAGTATAAGAATTCATATGGTTAAAATGGTTTTCATTTTCCCTTCCTATCGTTAATATCAGTGCAATGTAATTTTTATTTGTGATAAAAACACAGTGTGTAAAAAACAAGTCGTGTTTATAACACATTGTGTAAATAACACAAGTGAGCTGTATGCGTTAACAATTATTTTTCACATCTTAACACTTTTGTATTTGTAACATTTGTGTACATTTCCGAACCCTGAAATATATATAAATTACAATTTTAAATTAAGAAACCTACCGTTTTTGCTCCCTCTGCTGGCCGCTGAGATCCTGGGCCGGGTAGTAATCCTGTCGCCAGTCGGGGTTGTAGCCTCCAGAAAACTGATTCCTGAAGTACCGCTGCGAAATATCCCCGTAAACCTGTAAGCAAAAGCATTTGTAATTTTACTTGCGATAAAAACTAAATAAGAGTTGACTTACCGACTCACTCCAGGAGTTCTCAATGTCGCAGTTGCTCTCCTGCTCGGAGATCTCACCCTTGGCGGGCATCTTCTCATCCGTGCGGATGTTCAGGCCACCAACCAGACTGCTCTCCGTGCCGGCGCCTGCGAACGAGGACGACGTGGTGGAGGCGGAAGCCGAGGGAAGGTTGCTACTGCTGCTCAGCTGCTCCCGCTTGCAGGCGTCCAGGTCCAGATACTTGGCATCCTCATCCAAAGCAACGCTGCAGCAATCGACGGCCGCCAGAGCGGCATTGAAATTGGTGGGCTGGTGGCTGACCACATCTTGGCTCTGATTGGAGCGAGTGGCTGTTCCCGATTCCACGCCGCCGCCCTGGTTCTGCGGATCGTGTTCCTGCTCCTGCTGGTGGTACCACTGCAGCGACTGCGTCTTGGCCACCCGGAATGTTGCATTCATTGAGTCGTGATCCATTGAATTGCTGGACGACGAAGCCAAGGTGGCCGCATTGGTGGCATCGCTAACGCCATGCTGGTGGAGCTGCTGCTGCTGATGATGCTGCTGCTGCTGCCTGGAGAAGGGATTAAAGTAGGTGGCCGTCGTAGCCGTGGTGGTGCTGGTCTGGTGGTACAGAAAGTTCAAGTCCGGCGGCTGCAGCGTGGCCTGCACCTGGGCCGCTGAGGAGTTGTAGGAAGACGACGAGGATATCACAATCTCATCCACATCCACATCCACATTGTTGTCCGGCAGGATGTACTCATCGCCCGGCTTGGCCGGTGCCTTGGAGCAGCCACTACTGCTGCTGCTGCTGGCGAACACAGATCCCGCCGAGGGGAAGCCGCCGGTGCTGGCATTCACTACGAACGTCGTGCTCGAGGTGGCCAGTGGCGGCGGCTGCTTCGAGTTGGCAAACTCCAACAGCACCCGTGCGTCGTCATCGTTGACCGCCGAGTGCAGTTTGCGGCTGGTGGTCAGGTGCTTCTCCAGAATGCTGCTGCTGCTGGGCGCTGGAGCCTCCACAGTCTCACTCTTCACCTGCACCTGCAGATCTCTTGATATGGATGGGTTGCTGCTGCTGCTGGAGGAAGATGGGGTGTCAGTCTTTTTCGTTGTCGTCGCTGTCGCTGTTGCTTTTGGTTTGATGACTAATTTCTTGGGCCCGCGCTGCTGGGCGGGAGTGGAGAAGCGCTGCGGCAGCAATGTGGTGGGCTCCACCTCGACCTTCATCGTCGGCGGCTGGGTGAGATCCTCGGGAGACACTCCAGTCGCGGTAGCCATGCGAATCACGCTGGTGGTGCCGTGCTCCAAGCTGGGCTTCTGCTCCAGTTCAGTGGGAGTCGGAGCCACTGCCACCGCCACACTATCGTAGTCGTCCAGGGGCTCCTCCTTCTCCACCTTGACGAGTGGAATGGGAGCCACGGCGGCAAAGGGACGACCTGCCCCAATACTCCGACTGGAGGCCACTATGTTGCCCATCAAATCGAGATACTCATTCATATTGAGCGGCACATCGCTGAGCACGGTGATGCGATTCTTCTTGGATTTCGTGGTGGTGGAGTTTGAATTGGAGGCGGAGTTGGAAGCGGAATTGGAATGATTATCCGCCAGATTCGAGGAGGAAGCGAAGGAAGCTCCAGCGGTGCTCGTAGAAGGAGCAGTGCACAAAGGAGGCGGTAGAGGAGCCGCCGTCGCATTGGGCTGCTCCTGCTTGCGCTCCCTTTCCAGCTCACTTTCGCATCCGCTGCTCAGGCTCATAAACTCCTCCTCGTCGGATACCCGCTTGGAGCTTCGCTTGGGCTTCGTCTTGCGAGCCTTTTTCGTTGTTTTGCTCACATTACTGCGGCTGTGGCTGTTCTCCTCCCGCTCATCGTCGCCGTCATCCTCCTCCGGGGGAGCTTCATGGTCGTCGTCCTCCTCCTCCTCTTCATCCTCTTCGTCGTCCTCATCGTCATCGTGTATGTGCAAAACGCTCGGCGGGGATTGGTAAATGCGCTCGATTACGGAGAACTCGCCGTCCTCCTTTTCCACACACTCGACAATATGCTTTGGCGTCTCCTGGACAATAAAGTCACCGTTCTCACGCTCTAAATAGTGGGCCACTGGTGACTCCGCAAAGCGCAGGACTGAAGAGGATGCGCTGGAGGAGGCTGGCGAGGCGCAGGCCGCAGCCGCCGCAGCATTGAGCAGCGCTCCAAAGGGCGAGTTGGTCTGACGATTCACCCGAAGTCCAGATGCAGATGCCGAGGTGGAGGGGATGTTGCTGGAGGAGGAACTGCAGCCTGACCCGTAGGCCTGCAAGCTCGGTGGCTGCTGGTGATGCTGCTGCTGCTGGTGGTGGTGGGATTGCTGATGGAGCTGGCCCTGATTCTGCTGATGCTGCACCAGACTGTGCATCTGCTGCGCCTGTTGTTGCTGTGCCGGTGGCGGTGGTGGGGGATTCAGGAATACTTCCGTATGCGGCTTACTGGGCGGCTGCTTGCCAGTAGAAGTCGGTGGTGCCAGGGCTAGGTTATTATGCTGCATGGCCACGTTTTGAGGCTGTGGCTGCGGCTGCTGCTTGTTTTGGTTGTGCTGAGATCGTATTTGACTGATGGCTGCTCCGTAGGCGGGAGGTGGTTTCTGGTGCGATTGCTGCTGCTGTGTTTGCGATGGGGCAACCGTCGGATGTTGCTGCTGCTGCGTGAATAGCTGAAAGGAATATAATATAAAAATTACTACAAATAAATAAACATTTTATAAATAACCTTTTTGTTAAAAAAATGTAAAATTGAACAAATAAGCTAAATAACAAAAATTATAAATAAAGGATAAAGTTCTAAGAAGAAGATATTTATCTATACATGTGAAAGCTAAATATGTTAATTTAAAACAACAAAATAAACACTCTAATATCCTAAAATGTAGGTACAAATACATAAAGCTATTATAGTCTTTCTTGTTACATGGTAAGCATAGTAAAAATATTTATTTTTAATAAGTGAAATAGAAAATATACGACATTATATATAAAGTTTTAATATGTTTCAATCAGCAATGTGAATCATGCATGTAAAAATCAAAAACATTTTTCTCAGCTTAACATTATAATTGGATATTACATTTCTGGTAGGAGATTAGCTAATATTTTTGCAAGAAAAAAGGATCTATCTCCGGTTGTAGCATTCCGATTGACATCATGTCTTTTGTTTTAATTCATTTCTAATTCTTTTGAAATAACATTTTTAAAAAATTAAATTTGTTCTCATCGTTTAACAGTCTTTTAACAATTTTTAATGACAAAAAGTTAAATTTTAAATCTTTTGACAAAATCAAAGTGACTCAAATGTTAAAGAGAAATTTTTAATCTTTTTAAAAATGATTCGGATTACAAAGAGGAGAGCTCCTTTATAGCATTTGCTTATATTTCAACTCACCTGCAACGGCGGAGGTGGGGGCAAAGCTGTGGCATAGCTGAACTTCAGGGCAGGCTGCTGCTGCTGCTGCTGTTGTTGCTGCTGTTGTTGCTGCGGCGGCTGCTGCTGATGTGCAAAGTGGGCCTGCTGCTGGTGGCTGGCGAGGAAGTGCTGCTGCGGCACCTGCGGTATCACCAGAGTGGCTGCCGAGGTGGTGGTGACTCCACGCCCAAAGCCCGTCGTCTGCGGCTGCTGTTGCTGCTGCTGCTGGTTGAAGCGATAGTCCGGAGTGACCTGCGCTGGCTGGTACAAGGTGGACACGCTGCTCGTGGTGGGATGTGCGGATGTGTTGGCTCGCGCCTCAGTCGTGGGCGGTGCGCATTTCAGTGCTTTCATCGGTGGATTGCTCAGTTTGCTGCTGCTGCTGCTTGCGGAGGGGGAGGTGGGCGTGGAGCTGGTTGTGGAAGAGGCGGCTCCGAGGGAGGAGGAGAGCGGTGGCGGTGCTGCCGGCACCACAGGCGCCGCTGATATGGTATTGGCCACAACTGGTTTGACATCGCCACCAGAAGGCGGTGATAAGACGGCTGGTTTCTCGTCAGCCGCCGCACTGCTGGCTTCGCCACCACCACTCGATCCACCTCCTGATCCTCCTGCCAGCATGGCGGCGGCCAGAACACTGCCCATGCTGTTGCCACCGCTCCCGACGATCGTCATCTGCACCAGCGCCTTGATCACCTGCTCCTTGGGATGCGTCTCCAAGTGATCGGAGAGATTCATGCCCGCGTGCAGGTACAAAGTGCACACGGGGCACTGGACACTGTTGTCGACCATGATGGTGTCTGTGGATTGTTCTATCTGTGGCTACTCCTGGGTACTGACTGCTCCTGCTCTCTGGTAGCCCGGCTTCTAGATTTCTAGTGCGACGGTTGGCTGGCTTGGCTGCCCCTCAGAGTCATAAAACTACGTGTCCCCTTGGCTTGGCGTCCATCTTGCTCAATCCTCTGATTCCACGCGGGTGAGCTGCAATGTAGATGGAAAAAGAAAGAATGTCAGAATGTTGGTGCCACAATTCTTGGTGCCAGGCCCTGGGCTCATTGAATCCGCGCTCCGATATCAGCCGCCTTCGGTAAGACGACACCCGATATGCCAAGAATGCGCCGTCCGGCGATCCAGCGGATCGGTTATCCACGGAATGCGTGCCGCATAATCTTAACAAACGTGGATTTATTCAAACCAATCCGAGTCTAATGGGATGGGAAAAAACCCGACTGGAATGACTTGGCATTATAAGCCGGAAGAACGCATCCAAAACGTATAGCAATTAAATCATATGTATACATACTAACTAAAGAAATCTTACAAAATAGTTTCTTCTAAGAAATCGGGGTTTATTCCTAAGTCCCAAGGAAGTTGATAAAACAAGTGGGGGAACACCAAGATATTTGAAAATACTTAAGTAAAATTGTCAATGGGAGATTGCCAGTACTGAGAATTTACTAATCTAAATTTGTTAGAATTATAAGAAACCATTTATTTTGAAAATCTCTAACGTATTTGGACAATACCCCTATACCCCTATACTATTCAAAGAGATAAGAAGGATCATAATTTTTACCCTTGTATACTAAGCTTGGTTTTCTGTAAAAATATAAAAAATATCGATATAATTTATTTATGTATGGTAAAACCATATTTAATCAATGAATTTATAACACAATTTTAGTTATTTAATAAAAATACAAAGAAAAATCTATCCTTTTTAAAAATATAGATAACATTACCTATTCAACAGCTGATTAAAGAGACTAAAACTTAGGACCCTCCAGGATTCATAGTGCTTAAAAAAGTTACGATTGAATCAAATCTATTCAACTATTTTTATAAAACTGTGCCTTATATTTTCTGGTCTTGCTAATAACCTTGCTCCCCAAATCAAGAGCAAAACATAAGACCCGCATAAAACTTGGATACCAACGACAGAGCTATACTATAAGGATTTGCCTGGAAGCGAAGAGAGGCTATTAACTTCCAGGTGTGAGCAGCGAGCAGTGGAAGTGGCGGATTGGAATGCCGGCCGCAGATGTGTGAGACAACTTCTGGAGCAGCTTTTTTTCGCTCGGGGAGCCAGAGTCGCAGGAAGAAACGGAATCAGAATCGGAAAACGAAAAAGAGGCAACGACCCAGCCCGCTGACGAGTTATTGGCCGTTCCTCTGCCTTTTCTGTCTGCCTTTTGCGATAACTTTTGCTTTTATTTATAGTCTATAGACCAATATTTGCTGTTTATTCTTTTCGGGTTTTTTGGGATTCGGCCATCGCTGCAAGGGTTGCTCTTTGTTTTGGGGGCGAAGGACAATGCGAGGGCTGCACAAATCTCATAAACAGCGGCAAACAAATGTCTACGTCTGTTGCTATTGATTTTTCCTTTGGAAAGGTTACACACACCACGCACACACAACACCCACATGCACACACAGACAGCCGAAAAAAGAGGAGCACAAAGTGCGTGTGAATGCATTATGTCGAAGGAATATTCCAATTCCAGTTTGGCAGCAGCAGCATTAACAGCAATCTCAATCTCAGCAAACCTTTTTTCCAGTGTGCCTGCGGGCGTGTGTGTGTGTGCGTTAATGTCGCTGATCTTGCCACTTATTGTACCATTTTTTCTGCTGCTTATTATTCACATAATTACAGACACACACAGTTTAAAAATGCACATATTTCCGCTTTTGTTCGCCAGCCATTTCATTTGCCATCGATTTTGATTTCGATTTCGTTTCGTCCATGGAACGGAATGACACTTCCACAAAGAGAGGAGAGGACGCCAGCTAATTACCAGTATCGATCGAGGAAGAGAGAGAGAGAGAGAGAGCGCCCCTATGCTGGGTATCGTATCCTTGGAATCGGAAAGAGGCTTCTGCACCTGCGGCCGCTGGAAGATGAAGAGGTGGAACAGGAGCTCCGCTCCGCTCCTGGCTCTCTTCGTTTTCCTCTTTTCTCGTTCAATGACACAGAAATCTTTCCTCTCGTCTTCTGCTTTGTGCGCTCCTTCTCCAATATACAAGCGAGCTTTTTATATGTGCGAGTGCGACTGCGAGGCCATCGCTGCGTTTATCTCCCTCTGTCTGTGTGTGTGTGCGAGTGTGTGTGCTGAAGTGCGTGTGGCTACACACAAAGTAAAATTTTCAAGCACGTTTTTCATGCACTTTGGGCCGTTTATTCACTGCTGCCGCGTCGAAATCGAATAAACGGCACTTTCGTCTACACTTTGGTGCGCAATTCGGGCAATTAGCTGCACTTTTCACTATGAAAAACCGTTTAAATCGTTTTCACCTTGCGACAAGAAAAATTACAACACCAGTAGAGGTGGAGAAACATCGATGGAAACATCGATGCATCGATGGTTTTGTAAGTTTTTTAAACATCGATGTTTGGGCTTTGTCATCGATGTTTTTTTTTTTAATTTCTTGTAGTTTTGTTTGATATTGGGTTAAATATTTACTGTTTTGTTAGCATAATCTGCCAAATATTTATTTAAGTTAAATGTACACACATTGTAACTGAACATATGGAAGCATATGTATGTTATTTGGAATCTGCATTTTAAAATATTTGTTTTTAAGGCTTATATATAATATATTTTATTTTCAGAAGTTTCAGAAAAAAATGTCTTTCTTTCCAAAAAAAAGGAAAGCAAATATAACAAAAAATTGTTTTAAATGAAAAACAAAAAACATCGATAAAAGATCGATATAAATATTTTATGCCCATCCCTGAAAAGGGAAATTATTCGAAGCAAGAAGAAGCAGCAAGCCGCAACGCAGGGAATTTGTGTTTTCGGCAAATTCGTCAACGTTTGCTAAGATTTACAGGGATTTGTGCGTTAATTAATAGAAAACAACAGAAATGGCAGATAAGGCGCAGGAGCAGAGCATCATGGACAAGTCCATGCGGTCGGTTTTTGTGGGCAACATACCCTACGAGGCCACCGAGGAGAAGCTGAAGGAGATTTTCAGCGAAGTGGGCCCGGTTCTGTCGCTCAAGTGAGTTTTAATTGGTTAAAATCAGGTGAAACCGTGTAATAAACCTTATATCTATGATCCCCTTAGACTGGTCTTCGATCGGGAGAGCGGCAAGCCCAAGGGATTCGGCTTCTGCGAGTACAAGGATCAGGAGACGGCTTTGAGTGCCATGCGGAACCTGAATGGCTACGAAATCGGAGGACGAACGCTCCGCGTGGACAACGCCTGTACGGAAAAGTCGCGCATGGAGATGCAGCAGCTGCTCCAGGGCCCCCAGGTGGAGAATCCCTACGGCGAGCCCTGCGAACCGGAGGATGCGCCCGAGCTGATCACCAAAACGGTGGCTTCTTTGCCGCCGGAGCAGATGTACGAGCTGATGAAGCAGATGAAGCTCTGCATAGTGAGCAATCCGTCGGAGGCGCGCCAAATGCTGATGCTCAATCCCCAGCTGGCCTACGCTTTGCTCCAGGCGATGGTGGTCATGCGGATAGTGGATCCGCAGCAAGCACTTGGCATGCTGTTCAAGGCCAACCAAATGCCGCCTGTGCTGGGTGGCAATCCGCACCAGGGATCGGGCAACATCTCCATGCAGCAGCAGCAGGGACCCATTCCCCAGCAGCAGCAGCAGCAGCCTGCTCCACAGCCACCCATGCCCGTTCCCGGACCAGGCTTCCAATCCAATGTCCATCCGAACGACATCGATTTGCGCATGGTGCCCGGCGGCGGTCCCATGCCGCTGGATCCCCGGATGATGGCCCGCGGCATGGATCAGGATCTGCGTGGAGCTCTGCCCAATCCGGTGCCGCCGCCACTGATGGATCCCCGGACGCGAGCCCAGATGCCCGCCCAGCAGCAGGCGCCGCCGGCTCCCTATCCCAGCGATCCGCGCCAGCGTCCCATGGATCCGCGACTGAGGGCAGGTCCTCAGGGACCCCAGGCACCGCCGCAGGGGATTCCCCAGGCGCCGCCGCCGACGCAACAGCAACAGGCGGCCGCCCAGCAGCTGCAGAGCCGCCTGGGCGCCCACGGAGTCCTGCCGTCGGATGCCTCCGACCAGGAGAAGGCGGCCCTCATCATGCAGGTGCTCCAGCTGTCCGACGAGCAGATCGCCCAGCTGCCCTCCGAGCAAAGGGCCAGCATCCTCATGCTCAAGGAGCAGATTGCCAAGAGCACGCAGCGTTAATTTCCATTTTTCCACTTATCAAGCATGCTTACAATATGATTATACATTTGAATCGATTAATAAAAAGAACATTCTCACACCCGGAGATTTATTTTGCGGAATGGCTCTGGCGTTTATTGGGCGGAGACTAGGGTCTGGTGCAATTTCTGCACCGTTGTGTTGAGCATCTGCCGCAGGACGTCGTCCTCGGCGCAGTTGACGGCCTAAAAGCAGGTTGAAATTTGAGTTTTTTAAACGTTAAAGGAACTTAGTTATAAGTAGACCTGGGATTTTGCTTATTTGCATAATTTTTATAGGATACAGATAGATTAATTCCGAATTCTTTTCAATAAAAATCTAGTTTAAAATTAATTGCATATTTTATTTTTTTTTTGAATATATAATATAAAATAGACTCCACTATTCAAGATTGACCATTTCATAGCCAACCTAATTTACCCGAAGAAAATTGTTTGTTCCTTTTCGTCATTTCTGAGATATCTAATTTTTTCTAAAAATTTAAGGAAACCCTATTTATATTTCCAACGAGTAGGGGGCAAAAATAGTAAAGAGGCAGAATAGTTTTTGGCAATTGTTTGCATATTTCGCATATATTTTGCTTATTTTATGCAACAATTTTTTGCATTTATTTTGAATTTTTTGCATATTTCCGATATGCATCCCAATTTATTACATTTGAAAAATATGACACCTACCTAGGAATTTTGGTAGAAATCGGACAACAAATGAACAAATATGCAAAATCCGAGGTGTAGATAAAAGTGATTTGCTCACCAGAGTTTCCAGATTGATTTCTGCCCTCTTTCCGCTCACCATTACTGGCAGCAAATCGCCCTTGAACATTTTGGGAACGCAGCTGTCGCCGAAGGTGTCCTGCAGCGTCTCGATGAGGCACTCCCTGAACCGCGAGTCCTCCGACTTGGTCTGCTTCGTGGCCCCCTTGAGATTGGTGCCACCCAGCTCCGATTGCATTATGCAGGCCAGAACGGCATCCGCGTAGACGTCGTTCACATGCGTCGCCTGCCACTCCATAACGATGATTTTCTGCTCCACAGTCAGTTCGATGCAGCCGAAGACCCGCAGCTTGCGATCCGCCTCCACCACCTCCACGCAGCCGGCTCCAATGCGATCGAGGAGAAGCTCCAGAGTGGTCAGTGAGCTGCCCCAGGGAATCGACTGGCGTTGGGTCACGACTGACATGCTCATGTCCGTGTATTCTGCAAAGGAGGTAAGGGAATATCAGGGACCGAAAATAATCGTTATTGAAAAATAAAAATCACCAGGAAGGAATTGAGCTACATATATGTGCTATATTACAAATATTTTGTTTTTTCCTCCATGTTCTAAATATTAAATAAACTTTTGTTTCAGGATTTTTATGATAAAAATCAAAAGTAATCGTTATTTAAGATTTATATTTTTTGAAATTTCAAATAATTGTTACAATGGATTTTTGTTTTTTCAAATCCCAAATAATCGTTATTTGGAATTTTTATTCATAAAACTTACAAATAAAACTCAATGTGCTCTTGCATACAATCGCATGGAAATTTAGCAAAGGCCATTTTTGAAAGTTTATCTACTGGATGCAACAAATTTTTCTTTGATTGGACCATTAAATCCAACACTTTTCTTATGATCTATAAAAATGATATGCGAATAATGAAGCGATTGAAGTTACAGTAGCTGTTATATGAGTACACATAGGCACGGCCATCATGCTCTGAAGAATTTGCGGTTTTTTATTTGATTTCATTAAGCGCCATAAGTGATGCTTTTATACTTTATCTTTTAAAGAATTCGCGGTTTTTTATTTAGCTTTTTAAGTTCGTGATACTTATCCAATATTTACCCTAACTCGATGGTTAAATAAAAAAACTTTAACCATCCTCTTTCAAAAATATATATAATATGAATATCAATCAAAAGTCTTATAAAAGTTAATGGTATACTTACTGCCCAGATCCGAGGGAGCCAGCAGGTGATATTTAAAGTCACGCTTGACCAAAACGCCGGAGAGTTTGCTTCCCACTTCGGAGTGTTTAGCAGCCAGACTGCCCATCACCTTGGCCGTCTTCTCGCCACGGAAGTACAGATCCACGGCATGGGTATTGCGCGGGTTGTAGAACTTGATGTCCGTGCTGGCGTCCGCTTCGTATTCCCGCTGCAGGGCCAGCTTCAGACGCGACATCTCGTTCTGCTCGCCGTGGACGAGCACCACATGCGTGGGCTTCAGCAGGCGGATGAACTCGCTGGTCTGCTGGTAGTCCGTGTGCGCCGAAAAGGATATGTAGTCCACGGACATGTTGAGCGGCAGCTTCTGGCCCGACAGCGTGGTGATCTCCTCCGGCTCCGAGAGTATCGTCTTGGCCAGCGTTCCCTCCACACAGTAACCGGCTATGATCACGCCGTTCTTGGGATCCGTGCACCAGCTCTCGAAGAGCTCGCGCGACAACCCCGACTGCATCATTCCAGGCGAGGCCATAATCACACACGGACCAATATCCTCGAAGTGATCGATGCCTTTTAGGTTGGAAATGTGCCGGAAAACAAAGGGATTATTCACCGCAATCTGGCGGCGAATGCGATCGTTCATGGCATTGATGTACGTCTGGTAGACGGCCATGCACTTTTTGGCCAGCGAGGAGGCATAGTAGATGGGAATCTCATGCAGCTCCGGGTTCTGCGACCAGTATTCATCCAGAATGAGCAGCAGTTCCTGGGCGCGACCCAAAGCAAACACGGGAATCAGACATCGGCCGCCTTGCTGGACGATTTTCTGCACGAGCGAAGTGAAACGATTCTCGCGATCCTCCCGCTTCTCGTGGATGTGCGTGCCATAGGTGGACTCGGTGATCAGGACATCGGGTTTCTGCGGCGGCACCTCGGCGGCCATCAAATGCCGATCCTCCTGGCGCGAAAAGTCGCCGGTGTACAGGATTTTAATGCCTGCAATTTCGATCATGAACATGGCAGCGCCCAAAACATGACCGGCGTTATAGGCGCAAAAGCGTACCCCCATCACGTCGCGCTCCTCGTGGAAGTTGATCGTCTCGATCTTCTCCATGGAGGCCTCCAGATCGGCCTCCGTGTAGAGCATTTGCTCGGTGGATATGTTGCTGATCTTGATGTAATCGGACAGCATCCAGCGGTAGATGGCCTTGGTGGCGTGGGTCATGAAGCAGCGCCCCTTGAAGCTGGTCTTCATGAGGAACCAGGGCAGGGCGCCGCAGTGGTCCAGGTGGAAACTATATAGCAAAAAGTTATAACTAAGTTATTCATGGAATCTAAGCAGAGGTACTTACTGTGATATGAACAGCAGGTCGATTTCATCCGCTTCTATCAGATCCACATAGGGCAGGGCATCCATGCCGGACAGTCCGGGATGGATTCCGCAGTCCAGCATGATCTTCTTGCCCTTGAACTCCAGCATGATGCAGGAGCGTCCCACTTCCTGGCCAGCGCCTCTGAAATGGAAACACATTTTCCAGGTTAATACTAGGCTGTTTATCCAGATATGTAGATATCCTTACAGCGGCTTGATCTGCAGCAGATCGCTCTCCTCGTCCGGCACACGTGCATCACCTGTTGCCTGCGTCATGTTGCCTAGAAACGGAGAAATAAATAACTTAACAAACTTTACAAAATCGCCGGCAACAAAACGCTGTGTGGGTGTATCGATACCTCTCGATGACTTTCGATGTTTCCCCCTATCGAAGAATCGGAGGGTAAATTTAAAACTTTGTTTTTACTTGTTGTTACTTATGTTGATATACAAAATAATGATGCAAATATATTGATACAATTTTTAAAAAATTACGAATTTTAAACTGCAGTATTAGCAAATTTCCAATAGTGGAAACAGGTCGTTATTTGTCTAAAGTTATCGGTCAGTATCGATTAAATACCAACTTGTTTGTCATAGCAGCAGTGTGACCAAACTATTGCACTCCCATTAATTGCCACACGAAAGTCGAACAAATAAAGGAAAACTATTTTGGACAAATGGGAGGATCCAGCTACGATGGTGAGCTCTGGGATTGCCCTGTAATTCTACCCTTAACTTATTCCCCTCCCAATCCCCCACTTAGTGCTGCGGAAGCAGGCGAGGAGCCTGGAGAACGAGATCGACCTGAAGCTGGTGGCGTTCAGCAAAATCGGAGCAGGCAGCGGCGGAGGAGGAAGTGGAGCACTGGGAGGCGTTGACACATCGCCGCTCCTGGGCGAGCACGTCTTCGATTCGCTGTCGGAGGAGATCGAGCAGATGCTGGAGAAGGTGGGATATTTGAACCAAGTCAAGGGATTAGACCCTGGACAGGGAATAGATTAAAAAACATCAGATCATTGGGCTACAAAATTTCTCAGTAAATTACTATAGTTTTAGGTGCTTTTTAGTGTATCTTGTAGAATATATAAATGTTTTAACATAATTTATTCTACCGGTAACACAAAACCATACCTAAAACTATAGTTTTATTCCATTTTTATATTTTATCAGGAATTTATTTGTGCATTAATAATAATGCCCGACATTAGTAGATACATATCTATCTAACTGTTGTTATTAATTGGTATAAACAACTATCAAGACCTCAGGGACTTCCCTTTGTTTCTTATCACAATATGTACATCATAATTAGCGATTGTATTGTTCAGTTAAACCTTTATTGTATACCATTCTCTTTATAATGCTCAAAATTCTTGACATTGACCCCATATTTTGCAATGCAAATTTAACATCTGTTTCTTATCGAGGCTATTTAAGGTTCTAAATGAAGATCGCACTTTTTCTCACGTAATAATAATTTTATTAAAATCTGAATATACAGTTGTATACCTTTACAACTACTCTGTAAAATTTTCATAGTGAAATAGATAACATTAATGATAAATATTTATAACCGAAAGTAGCTAATGAGTCATCTGCAGAACCACTTTTTATCAGAAAAGGAAACCTCTACTTTTCTTTGATAAATTTAAAACACATACATTAAGTGATTCATACAATTTTTTAATTATTTCTGAATTTGAATTTATTTTAATATAATTTAACCGATCTATTTTATTTTCAGTTATCCTCTTTAAACGAGTCCATGTCGGATCTGCCCGCCGCGGGAGCAGCCGCCATGCACACGCTGCAGAGGCATCGCGAAATCCTGCAGGGCTATCGGCAGGAGTTCAACAAGATATGCGCCAACCACACAATGCGAATCGAGCGGGAAGAGCTGCTCCGCGGCTCTGGATTGGCCACCAGCTCCGGCAGTCCCTCCATCTCGGGCCTGAGTCGGCGGGAGATGTACCTGAAGGAGAGCGGGCACCTGAGCAGCGCCGGTCACCTGGTCAACGACCAGATCAACATCGCCATCGAGACGCGCGACCATCTCCATGCCCAGCGACAGGCCTTCAAGCGGCTGCAGACCCGCTTCAACGACATCTCGAATCGATTTCCACTGATTAACAGGTGAGCATTGAGGGATTAGATTAAGGGATAGAAAATAAACCTCCCGGATTATTAGAATATTAATTTAACATGCTGAAAGTATGCAGAAAATCGGAATATATTTAATATATTTTAACAATTAAAGATTCCATTTTTCAAATGAATTATAAGAATATTTATTAAACCAGCTGAGTATATTTAATTTATCAATTAAAGATTCCATTTTCATATAAATTATTAGAATATTTATTTAACCTGCTGAAAGGTTGCAGAAAATCGAAATATATATTTAATTTAACAGTTAAAGATTCCTTTTTTCAAATGATTAGAAGAAATTTATTCCTCAAAGCCATAGATGGTTATCTTAATTTTAATTGTGTATCAAAAATTTGAATAACAAACATGTTTTCTATTTCTCCGCAGTCTCATTCAGCGCATCAATATCAAAAAGCGACGCGATTCGCTGATTCTGGGGGCAGTCATCGGCTTCTGTGTGATCCTGCTGCTGCTCTACGCCTTCAACTAGCGACTTGCCGTCCCGACTTGGCCAAAGATAGAGCTTGCATTCGACTCCCTTACAGACAACTGCAGTTTTCGTTTGTTTTCCCCTACGGTATATGTGTATGATTAACTTGTGATAGCAATAAAATTTACTATATAAGATGAAGATTCCAGCAGCCCTCGACTTGAATATCAGTCGGTAGTCAATACCTTTTAGTCAGACATAGCAAGACATCACAAGGAAGAAACTGATAAGAATAAATATATATAACTTATTATTATAAGTATACAGAGATGGCTGACAATCCGACCGAGGAGGCACCACCGGTAGAAGTAGCTCCTGCTGAGGAGGTGCCCGTTGTAGAGGAAGCTCCATTGGAGGCAATTGCTGAGGAGATGGTGGCGGAAATCACTGGAGAGGAGGAAAAGGGCGAAGAAGATATAACTGGTGAAGGTCAATTTCAGTCGGAGTTGCCGAACGAGGATGAACAGGCTCCAAAGGAAGGTCAGGAGATTCAAGCCAAACCAAAGGGCCTCATAACCGCCGAGGAACGAAAGCGCGAAAAGCTATTGAAGCTAAAGCAAAGGCTCGAAGAGCGCAAAGCGGAGGAGGCGGAGGCTGCTCCTCCGGTGATTCCAGTGAAACCTGAAAAGGTTCAGGGTGAAGCCGAGTTTAAGGAGGATGAAGAGATCAGGAATGAAGAGGAAAGCAGGGAGGACTTACCGCGAGAATCCGTTCGCACCTATACGTCGTTGCAATCCGAAGAATCTGATGAAGATTTGGCCGAGGATGAGGATATAAAGGCCATTCTAAACGCAAAAATCCCAACTCCAGAGGACGTCATTAGTATGGATGAGGATCTACAGTCTGTTGTCAGCGAGGAAACGCCCCGTCCAAGATTGGGAAAGTCCTTAAAAGACGAGTTCATCCGCGAATTCGACAGCTTGCCCAGTATTTCGGACATATCGCTCACTTCGGACGAAGAACCCGAACCGGAAGTCGTGGCCGAGAAGAAATCCTTGACTTTACCAGACACTGGACACTTTGTGGACGCCTCAGAGGATCCTGGCGAGGGCGAATCGGAGTCTAGCTCCGCTCGGGATGCCAGCACTGCGGCGACTACAGTGGCCGAGGCCGAGGAGGACGAGGAGTCTGTGATAATGGACGATTTTCCCGAGGAACATGTACCTGTGGAGAAGCAAGTGGGTTTCGGCGAAGAAGTGGACACCATGGCCATGTTTGCCGTGGCCGTGGATGCAGACATCGGACCCACCCAGGAGCTAGCCGTTGAGGTGGAGGAACCCTTCTGGCATCGCCTCACCTTAGATTTCCTCAACCACCTAATCAACGTTGTGGTGGCCAATGTGGAGAACGCCGACAAGAACAAGGAGCACTTGCTGGACAAAAGCAAGATGATGGTTCAACTGCAGATCCTCGTAGACGAATACCAACTGGAGAAGTACCAGAACTCCCAGCTGAATAATGTGGTATGCGAATATTTCCGGCGCATTCGCAAGAACAACAATTTTCAGCCACTGCCGCCGGATGATGTGCGTGGCGAACTGAATCGCTATATGAATGCCCTCAACGTGGTCGACAATTTGATGGAGCGGGTGAAGATGATGAAGTTCAAGTACGGCCATGCCACCTCGCGGGCCATGATGGAGCTCAACTCGCTCTCCGTGCTCGCCTACAACGAGGAGCAGCGCCTGGGGGCCTTCATGCAGAAGACCCTCGTCCGCAAGGACATGGATCGGCTGAAGCGCGCCTTGGACAACGACCTCCGGCGCATGCAGGACCTGCGCAACCAGGTCAGCGTGAAGCGCTTCGAACTCAATCTCAACCTTCATAACCTGGCTTTCGTGGATGAGGTGGGTTTTGATATTTTTTTTAATACTTTTAAAATAATTTATTAAAAAATGGTAATTCTCAATACAAAACCATTATCGTAAGTTAGACAGAAATTATTGTAATATTGAAATTATATTATTATGAGGTGGGTTTTATCCAAATATTTTAAAATTATTAAATTAATTTATTAAAAAATGATAATCCTTATAAATAATACAAAACCATTATCGTAAGTAAGACTGAAATTATTGTATTATTACAATTTTATTATTATGAGGTAAGTCCTGTCAGAATATTTTATTATTATGCGATTATTTTATTACAGAGTGGTAATCCTTATAAATAATACAAAACCATTATCGTAAGTTTGACTCAAATTCTGCTCGGTTTTAAATTTATTTTACTTTAGTATCTCTATTTAAGTTTCTTATCGTTAAATATACATTTATGCCTTTAGATCTGCTTAGTAATCATATTATCCTTTAAAATTCATTGAGAGTTTTTAAAAATATTTTTTTATTTTTTTCTACCTTAGAAAGTAATGAAATTTGAGAATGTCACTGAGACATTGACGATCTCCCAGATGATGTGCGCCAACGAATCTATAATACAGTTAAACAAACTATTAGAGGGTATGATAAGCGACTACTTGAATAATACTAGAGTTAATAATTTAAAATTAAAAAATTAAATTATTTAACCTACTATATCCCACAGAAAAATGCAAGGATGTGGCGGTAATGCAAATGAACTACAAGAAGTCGATGATCGAGGAGACCTGCATCCGGGAGAAGCGCGACATGATCGCCTACACGCTGTCGAAGGCAAAGAAAGAGTATGTCGAACGGTTCGAGCACCGGAATAGGCTGCGCAAGGAGCTGACCAGGCTCCAAGTGGAGCACGCCAAGCTGAAGACCCAGCGGGCCAAGCTGGAGGCCAAGGGCGGACTCCTCTTCAAGACGGGCCTGATGTACGACTACGACAAGTGCATGATCGATATAGAGACTCGTCGCAGCAAAATTCAGGCCATGAAGAAGACATGCTTCGATCTAACCAAACGCATCTTTGCTGTGGAACACTCGAAACACGAGTCCAGTATTTCGGTGCGCCATCTGAATTTATAGTTTTGCATTTGTAGTTTTCTATTTTCACTAATATCTCTAATAAATTTGAGTGCATCTTGTAAATTGATGGGGGTACAGGGTTCCTGGAATGTATATTCTGGCTTTTAAAAATGTTACCCAATATATATTTCGTTATTGGTTTATAAAAAGGGAGTAAAAAAGAAAGTTTTTTTTTTTTTAATTTCCAAAAGGGACTTCCCCGCCGTTGATCGATTTCCTCGGTCAATCGATACCACAATTTGGTATTTTTGTGCCTATCGATAAGGAACCCAAGGTGCGATAGTGCAGCCCTGACAAACAGCTGTTCGGCGATGTGATAATAATTTCGTTTTTTTTTTACCCAACACGTTTGATCCGTAACAAAATCGGCTTTCCTGAATCGAAATCTATATAGAATCGCTTTGGCTGAAAGATGTCCGTGCTGCCCAACGCAGGGAGCAATGAATCGCCGGTGACGGCGCCCAGGATGTTCGGCGATCCGGATCTGGACAAGATGGCCATGCAGTATGTGGGAAACATGCAGCACTACCGCGAGAACATCGTAATCCCCAAGAGCAACGGCCCGGTGAAGATCAAGACCAACGAGGAGAAGTACATCGAGACGGCGGTGGAGAGCTGCGGCTTCAAGTGCGCCATGGCCTGTGTGATGGGTGGGTCTCAAAATATCATCAAAATTAGTTATAAGGATCTATAAAGTATAAATGATCTATAGGCTTCTAAAGTCAGCTTACCCTCTTCTAATTATCAGCTTTTTTTTTATTGAATTCTAAAATTAGTTGTTTTTGAAAGTATACAAAATGTCAATAGCAAATAACAATTAAATTCTTATATTATAATTAATTTTCCTATTTAGAATCCTCAATTCTGTATTTATTTACTGTTCAATACTCGAGTATTCTATGAAAAATGTATTCTGTTATATTTTTGAAAAATAAATATTAGTGATAAAAAAAAAGTCCTATTGAAATCTATAATTAGGTTCTAACGTCCTAAAATAATTACTTTTAAAATTATATAAAAGATGTTAATATTATTATATTAAATCCCATAAGATTTTATTTTAGTAAATATTGTTTTTAAGACCCTTAACTAGTTTAGCTTATATCTTTGTTATAAATATGTATAATTTACTTTTCCATTTATAGTTTGAAAATTTAATTTGAAAAATTAGAAGTGAATATAAAAAGCTAACTTAAGGCATTAAGCGACATTGCAACTAGTTACTAAGGGTAATAGAAATTTTTAGAAAATTGTAAATTAACTATAAATATATCTCTTTACAGGTTACGGATTGGGTGCCGCCTTGGGCCTGTTCAGTGCCTCCGTTAATCCCAGTATGGCCGATCCCTTCGCGAATGAGAAAAAGCAGACAGCCCGGGAGGTGTTCAGAGAAATGCGTGCCACGACCCACTCCTATGCGAAGAATTTCGCACTGATCGGATGCGTATTCTCAGCCGTGGAGTGTACCATTGAGAGTGTGAGTCCTGCACCTGTTCGAAGGCATTTTAAATAGCAGTTTTTAAGTAATATATCCTTCTCTAAACCCGGCAGCATCGGGGAGTCACGGACTGGAAGAACGGCACCTACGCCGGCGGCATCACCGGCGGACTGATTGGCCTGCGGGCTGGCGTCAAGGCGGGCGTCATCGGCGGACTGGGATTCGCCGCCTTCTCCACGGCCATCGACTACTATATGCATTCTAGATAAGCTCAGTTTCTTCGGTTACCTTGTTTCGTATAAATAATTGTTTCTAACTAATTGCCTACCGATGTGCTTTTGTAAACCACCGCCAAGGAAATGATTTCGTCACGACCTGTGATGGCTCCCGTTTCCGGTTGGCTCCCATTTGGATCCCTGACATTTGGAGAAGTGCAGCTGCCAGCCATTAATATTGCCCCCATCAGAAAGGCACTGTGTGGCATAAACAATGTGCCACAGTCTCGCTTACAAATTCGGCCAGTAAGCCCCCGACCGGTTTTCTTTTCGGGGGGCGCACTGTGTCCATTTTTGTGGGAACGCGAACGGGAATGGGAATCTCGATCCAGCAGCAAATTTCCAGTTTCGGTTTTTTGTTCAGTTCGATTCGAGCGGCGGGCAGGTAGAGATCGTTCGGCTGGTTCTTCTTCGACGGGGCTTCCGCTTTCGGTTTCAGCCTTCGCGCGTATTTCTTTCAGGACGGGGATGAGCATCGCTCCCCAGGCAGCTGCAAAAGTGCAACAGCAGCAACATCAGCAACAGCAGCTACATCATCGGTAACCGCAGCAACACAAACGGGTTTCATTTGCGCTCGTCGGGCATTTATTTTATTGTGTGTGCGGTTGGGTCGCGTGCAGTTCACGGAATATGCAAAAAGCCTTAATCATTAAATTAAACACAGGCTAACGACTAGTAAGCACATGGAACTCTGCCACGGATGTACGTCCTCCTCCCCGAGCGGCTTTTTGAAAGAAACCCAATTGGAGGAGAGGCGACAGAGATCAAATCTCTTGAGAGAATGTTTACAGTAGATATCGCAAGAGGAATACTGCAAAAAATTGAAATTTTATGGCCATTTTTATTGGGAAAATAAAGGGGGACCTAGATTACAATAAATTGGTGCCAAAAATATATATTTTTTTAATTTTGATAGGTGTATTTATTGTTTAGCTACAGTTTTTCAACAAAAGTTTTTAGGCTGTAAAATATTTAATAAGATATTTGTTTAGGTTCCTATAATATGTATCTTTCAAGTTATTATCCCCCAAATTATTAATGAGTTATAATGTGAAATTTTCGTTTTAAAAGTTTACAGTCTTGCTTTTAATTCTAGGTTTTTAATTATGAAAAAGGTATTAGAAATTAAATTCTCAAGTTGAGTTGTTAGTTTAGTTAGTAAATTTACCATTTGATTGATCGGAAATTTTATATGATCTTTATTTTGCGTAATACAGGAATTCGATTTTTAAGTTATGCATTTTTAGTTTACATTCCTTCAAGCTGTGTCCACTGTACTTGCCTCCAATACGATCGTGAGTCACAAGTGTCTGGGCAACATTGGTCTGGCTCTGGTCGGTTTACTTTGTCAGTGTTTTGTTTATGCAACCAATTCCAGAGCCACAAACACTTCTTGTTTGCCTTTCTCATCGACGGCAGCTGCGAACAGCTCAATTCTCCATTCTTTGCTCTCGATTCTCGATTCCCAATTCTTGATTCTTCATTCTCGATTTCAGCCGTCAGCAAGTTCAATGAAACCAAGTGACACTTGCAATTGCGATCGCATCTAATTGGCTCCTCGGCCAGTGAATCAAAAGTCAGTTTAAGAATGAGAATCAGCCCCTCAGTTGAGTCAACGGGCAGAACAGCCTGCTTTTCGGGCTCCAACGCCATATGTCTGTTGCCACATCGAGAGACAAAGTCTTATCTTATCTCGGAATAATCCGCTCAAAGCTGAAAAATACAGTCTGACTTCTCGACAAATATTTAAGTAATGGACTTATAAAGGAATTTTTTAAAAATTAATAGTAAATATTTGAAATAAAATTTGCAATAAACTGTTTATTTAAGGTTTTTTCCATTCCCTTTAACAGTCTTTCAAATATTGAATATAATAAATTTATCTTGTGTCCTTCAAAATAGATATTTGTTCTAGGATTATAGAGTTTTAAAATATTATAAAATATTATAAAGCCAAATATAATTTAGGATAGTAACAAAATTCGTTTTACAGATGTAAGACTGTTTGATATGTTTGGAGAGCGATTGTACTTTAGCCAGATAGGGTTTGGCTCTAAAGAAATTAGCTGGCGAAGAAAGCGAAGAAAACCAACGTTAACGACCTTGTAGAGAGGTAGAGAGATAGAGTGGAAGAAAGGGGGTGGGAGAGTCCAAAAACAGTAGACCCCGATGACTCAATTAGAATTCACTTTTACTTGGAAATAAATGGACAGAGGAAACCCGAGAGGCACTGAGAATCCAAGAGAGACTGTCTGGCTCTCTCCGCCGATATCTAATCAAAACAAATAATGCCAACAGTCCACGGCGGCTTGAATCATTAATTTAGTTCTATATTCCGAAGCAGACTGAACGTTCAGAGCTGCGGTAAAAAATATAAAATAAAAAAACAATAATAAAGAAAAACGAAAATATATTACAAAAAGTGCATTTTAAAGAAAATCAACAGATACTGATAAAGTTTCCAAAGGAATTCCCAATTTTCTACGCCTAAATAGAAGAAAACCCGAAACCGATACTATAATGAAGTACAAATTTCTTCTGCTGGTGAGTAAATATTTCAGCCTTTCCAAAACAGAATCCTTATCTTATCTATCGCACATACTTTTGGTTGAGATAGTGGGATCAGAGAGTATTTTCAATAGAGCTGTTCCCTGAAAGTGTTAAAGTGTGGGGAGACCTTTTTATAAGGCACATCGATGACCTCCTTCCGGACAGCCAATTTACCTCTGAAAAATATAGGATGTCATAGGTTATCAATGATCTATGAGTCAAAGAAATGCGTCATGTTTGTTGTCAATTAGGAATTCCAATAAAAACGTTCAGACTTTGAGTTTACCTTCATAGATAAAAGTTGAAAATGTTTTGTCAAAAATTTATTCCACCCTTTTAAAACATATGAAAGAAACAATAACACGGATACCAATAGCGACATATTGTAAAACTCTAAAGAAAATGAAGAAAACTGGAGAACGTTGGAGAAAAATGGCAGAGGTCGTTTATGCCATATGCATAATTGACATAGCGGAGGATATTGTGCTTGATTTAGTTATGATCAAGGCTCTCCAAGAGGAAAATATCACCTAAAAGAACATGGATGACCAAATCTATAAACCAAAAAAATTTATTTAATCTGTTCCAAAATACCTTAAAGTGAATTATATTGTTATTAATTTCTGCTGCATATAAAACTACAAATCGTTGACATCAAGAGAATTGTTTGTTTTTTTACAATGACCCAGAAATGATTTATTTATTATTAAAGGCGCACTCCTTTTGTAGGTTAAGCAAGTAAGATTGTTTACTTTAACCCTGTCATACATTTAAATTTTCTTAGTATAAAAAGCAATCAATTATATGCAGGCAATTAGCCAATTTATTTGCCGACACGAATATTCCTTAGAAGAAAATTAAATTACATCTGATAATAAAAAATTCTATAAAAGTCTGGACTTGCAGTACATAATTGAGTTTCTTCACACGTCTCAGCTTTCAGACCTCTTGATTTCAGCAATGCAATTATATAAACGGCGCCAACCTTACTGGTCTCCAAAAGTACTTTCGTCTGTTTGAACACCTGTACTTAGGTGTAATCGTGATATATGAGAATCAGCTCAAAATCAGAGACAGCTATACAATAGCCCGTCCATGGTCGAAACCATGAAATATGTGGCGAATTTTTCAAGGGACAGTGACACGTGCAGATTACTCATGTTTGTTTTCCGGAAAATGGTTTAATCTTAGTCGAAATTTTAATCCAAATTTTTTATTTATCTTTCCACCAACGATAAAATCATTTTGTAATCAAAAATGAGTTCAATCTATGACAAATTTTTTTGAGATTCTTAATTGAAGATTTTTTTAAGACAGTAAATTTTTATTCCCCTTAAGTAACAAGTTTTTAACAATTTAAGACAGTAAAGTGATTAAACATGTGCTACAAAAAAATGTTGTTCTCTACGATTTTATAATATCAGATTAATCTTGCAAATTTTTAATATTCATACACACAAAAAAAGCATGTCACCGTAAAATGGATATGGCCATGTAAATTTCAGGTCATGCTAAACCCAGGTCGTTTTAATATAAAGTACCCTTTTCGACCAGATCAAATTTACCTCAGGCCAGGTCAAATTAAAATGGATCTTAAATAAGGTAAAATTGACCTACGATTCATATCGATTTTTTTTGGGTGCAGTATTTATGTTCTTTTTAAATAATCAAAAGTTATTAGACTTTATGGAAACTTATTTATATTTATTATTATTATTTATATTTATTTATTTATATTTCTTTTTTTGCAGCTCCTTGCGGGAACGTCATTGCTCCTGACTACTAGTGTTCAGGGCCAGCACGAGGACATCCCGTACCAGCCGGTGACCAATATCTGCCAGACATGCCTGTGCCTGAGCAGCCAGGACAGTGACCATCGGACGCACTTCAACCTGGACTGTTCGGTAAAGAATTTCGAGCACATCCTGGCCCGCTGGCCGGCGGAGTTCGGATCGCAGGCCATAGCGGCTGGAGCTTCTTCGGAGATTGTGGTCTCGTACTCGGGCAATCAGATCAAGTTGCTGCAACAGCTGCCGGCTACGAATGCCAGCTTGACCCTCTCCTGTCGGCACTGCGGTCTGCAGAATCTGCAGGTTCCCCTCTTCATGGATGTGCCCAATGTGGAGGCGCTCTACCTCAGCTGGAATGAGCTGTCCAACGATGCCCTGGTGCCGGATCTCTTCAGGGGTCCTTTCCGCAACACTCGCTACGAGCCCATTGGCTTGCGGGATCTGGACCTAAGTCACAATCGAATTAGTCGACTGGATCGACGGCTCTTCGAGCACACTCCCCATTTGACCAAGTTGAATTTGGCCTACAACAAACTGATTGCCCTGGACGAAGCCACCACGGCGGCAGTAGCATCGGTGAAGACCCTGCAGCGATTGGATCTCTCCCACAATGGTTTGATGTCCCTGCCAGCGCAGCTTTTTCCCACGCTCACAAGCCTCCGTATCCTGGATGTCTCGGGAAATGAGTTCACCGTAGTTCCTGCCAGTCTCTCACATTTAAGCAAGTCCTTGGTTCAACTAAATTTGGCGGCGAATAGCTTCCTCAGCCTGAAGGGAAATAGTTTTCAGGGCTTGGTTTCCCTGAAACGCCTGAATATCAGCAGTATGCCATCTCTGCGAATTCTAGAGGAGGGAGCTCTGCATTTGCCTGCCCTGGAGGAGCTATATTGTTCTAGAAATTCCAAATTAGAGCGCTTGGAACTAAACGATCTGATATTCAGTCGGAATCTAACGCAGTTGGATTTATCCCGGAATGCTTTGAGCACCTTGGTTCTTAATATTAGCAATCCTAACAATTCCACCAGCAATCCTGCACCCTGGCCACGTCTTCGCAGCCTGAGCATCGCCGGTAATCCCTGGTATTGCAGTTGCGAACTCTTCAAGACCCTCGAGCTCACGGGAATATCGCATATCGAAAGGGAAACCGATGGTACCGAAGCCCGCTGTGAAACCCCATATCTTTTGGCCGGAGCCCCACTCTCCAATTTGACAGCGGAAAAGATCTGCAAAATGGTGATACCCAAGAAATATCGGGAGGTCGACGAGGAGCCACCGCGATTCCTGCGACGTCGGTACATCATACTCACCGCCATCATAGCCAGCATTGTCCTGGTCATCGGCCTGGTGATCGGATTCGTTGTAGTCTGCGTGCGTCGGCGGCTCAAGGGCAGCGACTACGGGGTCCAGCCCATCCGGTATACCAGCGTGCGGGGCAGCAATTTGTCGCAGTTCTCGCAGCTGCAACCCGCTTCGGTGGCCAGTAAATTCAAAAATGTCCATGCCGGGAGCAGCAGTGGAGCCACCACAGGTGCTGCCAATGCCTAAAGCGGTGTTCAAATCCTAATTCGGTTGCAATTCCGAGCTAGCTGCACAAGTTTCGAGCCAAAGATGTTACGAACCTAACCGACAAACAAAAAAAAAAGACTTTCTGTGCGTGCTATCCTGTATATATGTAGGTGTCCTCTGTATCCTTTTCCTAACCCCAGTCCTTAAAACTAACCCCTAGTGCTTAGTGATGCCATCGATGTTTGTATTGTACTTAAGTTCCAAACGTTAGTGTGTAATAAAACATTTTTAAAATCAATTTTCGTTTTAATTTCTTTGCAAGTGGGCTAAGATGCACTCATAAAAATTAATTCCTAAATTTTAGATATCTCGCCATTGAATCGGCCTACCTTTGTTATTAGAAAATTTGCCTTTGAATATAGAAAACCTTTCTAGGTGAAAAAAATTCCAGAACAAATTTTCTAGATTTAAAGGAAATTCTTCGATTTTTTTTTATGAGTGTGGTTGTCTATGTGATTTTTTATTTGGTGAATTTTATTTCTCTATATTTTTTGATAAGAAAATTATTATACACGTGTTTATACAAATGTTAAATTCAAGTTTCAACAGAAAAAAAAGTTCCAAGGCCTTTGGATTTTCACAAATTCTCAAGTGGTTCTACTTAAAAACTTTTATTTTCAGCTTGCAACGTTATGGAGTTTAAAAATGGCTAGGAAACATAAAAAGAGGAACAACCGAAAGGCAGGATATGAAGTTCAGGGTGAAATGGCGTCGCTTGGCGAGCGGCTTGTCTCCCCAGTTGGCTAGATAAATGATAAAAGCTTAAACAGATAATACCCAGAGCAAAGGAGATAGTAGGCTTGTGATATAAACAAACAGCGCAGTCTAGCATTCACTTTCCAGCAGCTCTTCCTCAGCGGCGGCCACAGGTGGTGGTGGTAGCTTAAACAGATTAATTGCCTGCTTTTGGGCCAGAAATTGGCGCATTTCGGCAAAGTTATCACGCTCCTTGTGCTGTTTGCTTCGTCGCTTGAAGGCCTCTTCGTCGGCGGAATCAGAATCCGAATTGGATGAGGATTCGCAGGGGGGAGAAGGTTTTCCCTCCGCCAGTCGATTGTCCTCCTGCTGCTGCTGCTGCTGTTGCTCCACACTCTCCATTTTGCCAAAGAGCTCGTCCACATTTATGCCCTTGGAGGCCAGCACTTCTCGCTCCTTTTCCAGCATCACCTGCCTTATGGGATCAATGCGATCCTTCAGCTGTTTGAGGACAGGTTTAAACCTTCCCTTGGTGATGCGCTTCTCAAAGTTAAGCAACTCCTTTTCTGGCGAAGGAAACGGGGCGTTCTGCTCGGCCTCGAACTGCTGCTCCTCGTTCTGATCGTACATATAGGCATAGAAGTCATCCTTCTGCTGCGGTGCATCGACATTCTGCGAGAACTCCACCCGCAGAATGCTCTCGGGGAATTCCTCGTCCAGATCCTGCTTGGGTTTCGGCGACTCCCCCTCCAAATTCAGCTGACTGTGCAGGAACTTGTTGTAGACCAGCATCAAACGCTGGAAATCATCACAGCAAACGGCCAGGGCATTTTCGATACCATGCATATTATTGGCCACGGCCACCAGCTCCTTGGAGTTGTTCCTGTTCGCCGCCTCCGTGGCCGTCAGTTGCTGCAGCGTGACGTCCAGAGCCTGGCATTCTCCGGCCACGGCCACCATGCAGGCACTCAGCTTCAGCGAGGAATGCTGCAGCACTGCGATGGGTCCACTGCGCTGCTGCTCCGTTCTGGTCGCATTCAACTCGGCCAGTTCCATCTGCTTCCTGTTCTGCATGGCCAAGGCCAGATTGCTGAAGTGCGCCTCCTCCTCCTGCACCAACTGCCGCACCAGGCAGTCGATCTTCACCAGATCCTCGCTCAGCTGGGAGATCGAGGGACGAGTGGTGATGGTAAAGGCCAGCCGGAGCAGGTACTGTGACTGCACGTACGCGAAGATGTTGTGGAAATCCTGAAAATATAGTTTTTTTATTAAAAATATTAAATATTAAAATATTGAGTAAATGTATGGTTTTTGGATATATTTAACAGATATCACTCAACTTACGGCATTCAAATCGAGATTAATGACTATAAAAGTGTTATATGATTTTAGCTATCAGTTGAGTATGTCATTAAAGATTACAAAGTGCACTGTGAATAAACAAATATGACTCGTAGTCGACGTATAGATACTAGATGAATTCAATGAATTATTTTAAATTTTTTGTTTTATATGAATGAATTAATTAGAATTTTGAGTTTAATAGAATTTAATGAATTTGAATTTTGAGTTTAATAGAATTGAATGAATGAATGTCATGAATTCCGAAATAATTCAAACGACAATTTCTTTTGAAGAAGAAAGGGTCATAATTTTGTGATTAAATCTGCCTGAATTTTATTTACTATGCAGTTAACATTGATAAAAACTTTCCACTTTTTGTTCTCAAAAGAAAGCACAAAAACAATTTGGCAAATTAAAAAAATTCATAAAAATTATTCATTCATTCATTCAATTCGAAATGAATTAGAAAATCATTCAATTTCTGAATAAAACAAATCTGAAATTTCATGGCATACTATGATAAAACAAAAATTAACAGAAATTACCAATAGAAATACAGAATGACAGTTTACAAGTCCGAGTTTAAGATTTTTTAAGAATATATTATCATAATTTAACTCCAAGTTGGACAGTTAAGAAATAAACTAACTGGAACTGAAACCTCTCAATAATTTCTTCCCAAAAACTATAAATTTATACCATCTATCTAATACTACCTTTATGTGCTTGGGACTGTAGTCCGTGACATTGTTCTTGAAGTACTCGCACTCCCGCAGTTCCTCCATGGGCGCATAATAGGCTCCGTACTTAGCGGGCAGGGGATAGTCCGTCTCCAGTTTGCGGGTAGCGTCGTACAGGATTTCGGTAACCTCCTTGGCGGCCGTTATGCAATCCCAGGCGCGCTCTATCTGGCGGGATCTGTAGAGGAATAATAATGATTAAAGATATATGATATACTAGATGAGTTATTTGTGTTTACTCTATTAGTTCTGCCTGCTTCATGATGATAATCTCCTGAAAGTACGTCATATTCCGCCGGATGCAGTTGCCGAACTCATCGATGGTCTTGACCAGTTGCTCCAATTTCCGCTCCACGATTTTATTCCGGCACACAAACACGCTCTTCACTGCGCACAGGGCGGCAAAGGTGCCGGTGATGAGGATGGATGGCAACATGGTGTACCGGATGCCCCTGGGGGTGATCAGGTGCTCCACAAGAGTGCCTCCTAAAATCAAGCAGGCATTCCGCGTGGTCAGCAATTGCCGGCCGGGATGCGAGGAGGCCTGCAGCTCCTGCATGCACTGCTCCAGTGCCTCCACATGGTCCACCAGCAGGCGCTTGGAGTAAAGGATCCTGTGCAGCAGGCGGTCCTGGATTACCTGGTTTGTTATGCATTAGTCAAGGGGTTTTATTTATAGCACCTGCTTTTCGGCACGGCACTCACCTGTTTCTGCTTCAGGTCATCCGCCAATTGGCGTCGCTCAAACCGTTGCTATAACGAGTAATTAAAACATTGTAAATAGTTTATAATATATGCTTTATTCGATCTATTTACACCACGCACCTTGAGCTCTTGCATGTTCCACCTTTTGTTGTTTGGCAAAGGCTTTATAATTTATTCAACACTAAATGTAACTAAAATACCAAAAAAATACCGCCAGCATGCGGTGGTTAAGGGTATTCCAGCCAGTATTGGTAAGTCAGCTATTTATAGCTATATCTAGATTTTTAAAAAGAACCGCCAAAGATTTTATCCGTAAACTGTTTCGGATAATTTATTTAAATCTATTGAATTTTGTACCAAATTGGTACTACCAATTTTATTTAGCTACATTTTTAAAGAAATAATAATCAACACTGATTTCAACAGGTCCTATGTCTAGGGTTTTTACAATTAACTTTAAATAGCTAAAAAAAATATTTATTTCCTTTTTTATTTAGAGCAACAACCATCAAAATAAAATATTTAAAATTTTATTATAAGTTACGTCCTTTTCTAATTGTTTTTCTACGTATTTTGTAACTTTACTTTAAAAATAAATAGTAAATTAATAGTAAAAACAAAAACATGGCCATTTAAAACTTTTTTTAATAAATGTTGATGAATTTTGAATTTGTTGAATTTGTATTTCTTCTTTAAAAATATGTTAGTTCTTTTACTTCCATATTTATTTCGCCCATTAAAAAACATCCCTTTGAGGTATTTTTATTTATACTTTTATTTGTAGATTCTTAGAGTAGTTTGTGTTGTTCAAGATTACATAGAATTTGTTTACATATCTAGTAGATCAATATCCCATTTACATAGAGTCAACATCATAAAAAATTGTTCGCCGCGGGGCTAATGACATTCCATTTTTCCTTTTTCATATTTCATAGTATAATCTACCGGGCTGCGAACAGGGGCTAGTGGTTGGTGGATAGTGGGAGGTTGGTTAGGCGCGATACAAATTTAGCTATACGCTAGACGACAGATGTGCGACATTATAAAATAAATAACATGGTTACTGCTCGCCGCCCGTGCCGAATATCTGCGATGGCCACTCCTATTCATATTTTTGGGGTAGGCGGAATGGATATCCATCTGGTTTTGGATGCTCTACATCTTATAGGTGGCAGGCACGGAGCGCGGATAGTCCAGATCGTACATCTGGGCCTTGATGAAGGCCAGCTTATTGGCCGGTTCGGGGCGAACGGTGGCCAATCCGTTCTTATACGCGTACTCCACAATCTTTTCGGCAATGGCCACCGAACAGCTCACGATCGAGTTGAGCGGAGGATACAAGCTGCCCTTGTCCAGGTCATCCTTGGAGACCAGCTCCGCCAAACGCTCGGCAGCCACCAAGAAGACCTCCTCGGGAATGGTCAGCATGCCGGCGCACAAAACTCCGAGTGCCACTCCGGGGAAAATGTACGAGTTGTTGCCCTGGCCCGGGAAGTACTTCTTGTTGTTGTACGTCACGGGTGCGAAAGGCGATCCGCTGGCGAAGATGCAGCGACCCTTGGTGTGGGTGTATGCCTCCTCGGCGGTGCACTCCGCCTTGCTGGTCGGATTGGACAGCGCGAAGATGATGGGGGTCTCATTGATGTCGGCCATCAGCTCGAGGATCTCCTGGTTGAAGGCTCCGCCCTGGGCAGCGGCTCCAATGAGGACATTGGGACGCACCTTGCGCACCGCCTCGGCCAAAGTATCGATGGGTTCGTGCAGCTGGGCAAAGTGCAGCTTGTGCTCGGTGAGTCCACCCTTTGGGCGATCGCGGACAATGACACCGCGGCTAAAATATAAGATATTAATTAGTATTTAGTTAAGGATTTTTTTTAAATAAGCTTTTACCTGTCCACCATCCAGATGCGGGACTTGGCCTCCTCCTCGGAGAGACCCTCGGCCTTCATGGCCATCAGACACAGGTTGGCAATACCCAGAGCCGCCTCACCGGCGCCCAAGAACAACAGCGTGTTATCCCGCAGCTGGGTCTTCTTGATCTTCAGCGAGGCGAGCAATCCAGCGACGGCCACCGAAGCGGTTCCCTGGATGTCATCGTTGAAGGTGCAGAAGCTATCGCGGTACTTGGACAACAGCCTAAACGCATTGGCATTGGCAAAGTCCTCAAACTGAATCAGGCAATTCTGGCCAAAGCGACGCACGCAGGCATGCATGAACTCATCGATGAACTCATCGTAGAGAGCCCCGGTGGCTCGGTTCTCGCGCAGACCAATATACAGGGGATCCTCCAGCAGGGATTCGGTGTTGGTGCCCACATCCAAGGTGATGGGCAGGCACTGCGATGGCTTAATGCCGGCTAAGGCGGTGTACAGGGACAGCTTGCCCACGGGGATGCCCATGCCATTGGCACCCAGATCACCCAGACCCAGGATACGCTCGCCGTCCGTCACCACAATAGCACGCACATCGGTTTCCGGCCAGTTCTTAAGCACATCGTAGATGTGTCCCTTGTCCTTGATGGAGATGAACATGCCCTTGGCGCTCTGGTAGATCAGGCTGTAGCGCTGGCAGGCCAATCCCACGGTGGGCGTGTACACCAGGGGCATCATGTGACTGATGTCCGAGCTGAGGACCTTGTAGAAGAGCCTCTCGTTCCGCTCGGACAGGCTGATCAGGTACATGTACTTGTCCAAATCCTGATCCAGGCGATCCAGGAGGGCGCGGCAGTGCTCCACCTGCTCGTTGGACTCGCGAACCACGTAGGGCAGCAGGCCATGGATACCCAGCTGCTGGCGCTCCTCATGGGAGAAAGCCAGGCCCTGAAAATGGGATATAATAAGATACAATTTTTAGTTTTTTTAGGTATTTAAAACACACAAAACAAATATAACACTTGGATCAGGAAGTTAAAGATCTTTCTAAAAAAATATTATAATTATTTTATCTTATCAACTTTATATCTCCTGATAGTTCCCTTTTGATTGATTAAAAATCTAGTACTTAAATGGCCTGATCGCCCCACGAAATGATTATAAAACCGTTCAAACAAAACAAACTCAAGTAGGATGGTGGAAAAGTTTGCCTCCGCTTATCGTGGACCTCTATTTCCCAGCACGCGCCCCTATATATTCTAGACAAACCGACTGGAACTGGCCACCAGTTATCAGGCGACCTTCACAGATCCGATGAGATAGATCTGTCGCCCAGGCACGAGTCGGGTTTCAAGTTCAAAGTCAAGTTCCGGCGACAAGTCGATAGAGAATTAAAACTGAAATACGATTTGCAATGGGAACTCTAATATAAACAGAGTACATTTGAGGAGAATGACTCAGCTTTGGCCTCGTTTCACACGCACAATTACGACTAGTTTTCGAAAGTTTTTTGCTCCGTAATTGCTGGGGTTATTATCGAAATGGGATTATGTTGGGGGCGTTATTTCAAACTTTTGACTTGGTCACATATGTAGATAAAGAAAATACGTGCAAGTTGACATTCAAACACAAATTACGCTGGATTATGTGGCATTTAAATTACGGATGTACCTGCTAATATGCACATTAGGGAATAATTACTCGTGCCTTGAGTAACTTGGCAAATGGCAGCTGTTTTTAAATCGTGCCCATACAAAGGCTTTGAGTAACGCTTCTTTGGACATTAAATCTCAACCTTGAATATATAATACCCACATGTAAATTTTCATTATAAAACATTCCATCAAAAGCCATCAGCCAATTTGCAGCCGAACAAGTTTTATATTTATAGCAAATCTGACTGCTTTACACAAAAATGTATTTTGCCCAAAAGGTGAATTAAGTAAGCTTTATAAAGAAATTTAATTTCAATTTCATTTTACCCCAAATTAAGTATTTATTGAAAATTATAGTTATTAAGTCATCAGTTTGAATTTAAATAAAATTTTTGTTTTATTTCTGTCACGCAATGTAAAATGTTTATAACGATACATATATGATATATATATACATATATGTCTAAGATTATTTTTACCTTTTTTATATATTTACATTATTTGTTATTTAATTAGTATCACTATGACATTTACGTATTCGTAACTTATCAAACTTCTTCATCTTCCATTTAAATGAGTCAGCTTTAATCGAAAATTTCCCAGTTGACCACAAATTAGCTTAATTTTAATGACATGAGTTTTTTTTACCTATTCATGGTGACAGGAAAAGAAACCCACTTTTTATCTTTGAAATAATGACAACTACAAGTTTTTTATTGAACCTCTGGGGGCACGTCTACAAAAAATTACACCTTGAGATCCAGAAGATTCTAATTAAATAAAAATACTTTAAAAAATTGATATATATGGTAAAAACTCTCATCAAAAAAAATTCTGACCGAAAAAAAGTGAAATTTAAACTAATAAAGGCTTTACAGGAAAGTCCATGTGTCAAGTGTCGTACGTATTAAATTCAATTAGTTCTGAACTTGCTGTTTGTACAATAAACACTCGAGTGATCCCCATAAACAATAATTTACTACCCTGAGGAGCCTCGAATTAACCATTATCGTGTTGCTACGTCATCGGTGGGCTGGTGAAATACGAAAAAATCGAGAGAACGACACCGTTGACATTGAAAGCGACGCACGACCGTCGATAAGCGTGCGAAAGTGTTTACAAACCGCCTGGCAACAAGTATTCCCCATTCTCCATTCCACATACCTTAATATACATACAAAAATACATCAACTGCTTCAAACATCCGAGTTTGCCTCATACATAAAACCCCCTAAACTTAGGTTTCGCTTAAATAAATAGTAAAAAAAATTATAAGTTTTTTTATTTAACTTTATTTATTTAACTTTAAAATAAGAAAAAAAAACATAAGAACTAATTCTTAAAACCATTGTGTATAATTTTTTAGAAGACGGATATAATTTTAAGAAAAAATCCTAATATAAAAGGCTATTTACTTCGCTTTGGCTGTATAACAAATACAGACATGCGTATACGTAATGGGCAACTCCGGGATTACGCATACACATTTCGCATGATATTGCAAAGAAAACAAAAATCGAAAATAGACAAAAATCGGAGCAACAACCAAAACGAACCCAAACACAAATTAGCGCGCGCTCAGCTGATTTTTTTTGCACTGTCTGGCGCGACCAGTTCGATCATTATGATCGCAATCGTGATCATCATTATACCTACCAACAGCTAATCATTAAGTCGTCGCTGTCTCTGAACTTTGAATACGATTCGGATGACGAAAGCGTCGCTTTAATCAGCACAAGTCGAAATAGACACAAGCGGGCAATCTCAGGCAAACTGTTTCCTTCGCAAAGGTGAGCTGATGAAAAGGTTTTGTTTTGTTTCTCAGGCAGGTTAAACTATAGTCTTTTGTGGGTCAGACGATGTGGAATGATGGAGGGATGAAAGTGCCAGTGAATCAGGCTATTCTTCAAAGAACCATGGAACTTTGCCGGAAGCGAAACATACGAGTTTATGAGTCACAGTGGAAAAAACTCAAACTGCTTAGACAAATAAGAAAATTTTAAAATATCACAATAATAATTACATTTTCCATGTATGTATACTATAAAAACTATATCTAAACTTTGATAAAAAACTAATCAAATTTGTTTAATTTCCACTCTAAATCGCACCTAAACAATCGCACAGCCATTGACAAGTACACTATATATTATTCTTTCTTTGCTTGCCCAATATAAACAACCAATACCGATAAGTCAATGAGTAAACAATGAAATAATCCAACTATTTCAACAAGTTCCGAGCTCTCTGCTCTTTCAGCACATTGACCGCTTGAATTTGTTTAAATTTTTAATTTCCTCAGACGAGCAATAAATAACGAAATACGTGAAAAAGAACCAATAAAGCAAGAGACAAACAAAAACGTAGAAATGCAAATAATTTTCCCTATTCGCTAACTGTATTTAGAGTGGGCAAACACACAGATAAATATATAATATATATAAACGGCTGATACCGAATGGGGATTATCGTTATTCAGTTCTTTATACTCGCTGTTCGAAACAAAGATAAATTTATGACTGAATGTAGGTCAGTTTTTGCTGGTTGGATCGGATTCGGATTTTGCGATGTTTTTAAAAGAGATAAGAACTTGAAAACTTTCCACAGGGAAGCATAAGGAAATCAAAACAAACCTCAGCTGTTTCGGGGAAGGAGGTTGAGATAAACAAGTGTCACTTGTGGGGAGCGTGTAAGAAGTAATAACAAACTGTAGTACACAAGTGGCAGCTTCTTGATAAGGAAACTCGCCAAGATAATTTCTGGTTAAATTATTAATTTTCGGTCTGGCAAAAACTCAAGCGATTGTGGCCTGACGTAAGTCGACAAAGTTTTTATTGTTATTGCAATGGGGAAACGAAATTTTGGAGAGCCCCTCCATTATTCTTAGTAGAGCTACTGTTTACATTACGGAATTTTCCACCTATCAGCTTGCACACGAAAAAATCGTTGCCAAGTTAAAAAAATATAATTGAGACGTCTATTTTAAGTGTAATTTTTATATTTTTAAACATTTTAAACTCTGATTCTAGGGTTTTTAAATACAATTTTTTAAAGGGATTTGAAGTCATTTGATAAAAATGGTATTTGCATTGCAGTTTTTTATATCTAGAACTAAACATTTCGAAATTCTGTTTCACTGTGCATCTCCCCAAAAACACACAAACTAAAAGACCATGCGCCCTCTCTCTTCGAAATGCTCTCTAATATTTTCTGCAACAATTCGTGCATTAGCTCATTCATGTCTCCGTGGGAAAATAGCGTAAAAGCCAATGCAAGCAGAAAAAAGCGTACAAGCATTGAACTTGAAATTGCAATCTGAGATAAATGCTGTATAGAAATTCTGCGTGACGGATTCGTGTTAACCGCTTCATACCCTACAATTCCACTATTTGACAGACATTTAATTGGCTCAATTATAAAAGTTGGCTATCGATTTTCTGCGCCTTTGACAGCCTTTATAAAAAAATAAAAAAACCCAAAAAAATAACAAAAACTATGAGCTTTGGTCTTCCAGAGTGGCGCGTGTACTATTTGCTGTCTCTTTCGCTCTCTATGTCATCTAAAGGTCACCCACACCACTTGCCGAAAAATGAAGCCACTGCCAAAAAGTATCTTTTTTTTGCTCTGAATTCGTCAGCTGACGTTTCCGCTTAATATTTATTTATGTATTAATGAATTGGAATTTTTTATGCTCGTGCTGGTGTTAAAAATAGCCGGTGGCCTACAAAAAATCACACATTTTTCAAGAACAAGGGCTAGCTAGAAATTTGGGCCCTTATATTTAGTTTTAGGGTATAAAATAAAGATTTCACTCCCTGAGTAAATTTCTAAAATTTTGTAACTATTTAAGTTTAAAAATATTATTTTTAAATTTATTTCCCTAATCACTGTGCTCTAACCAAAATTCCCCAAGCTTAGACGAATTCTCGCCCCTTGATACCCAACACACCAAAACCAGAAAACCCGAATGCGAACCCACCCTAAAACCTTTGCCTGGTACTTTTCCACTAAACTTAAAGCCCCGCGGCGAAAGGGGATGGCCGTATGGAATGGAACTAGAGAACTAAATAACTAAAGAGAATATAAAACTCACCTTTGAGTAGCGCTTGTCGAAAAGTCGGCCGAATCCGGAGATGCTGCCAACGATTTCGTTATCGCCAGTTCCCCAGATTCCCAGGCGATCGCGCTGGACGTATTTATCCTGATTTCCAGTGGGTTTACTCATGTTGTCTTCCAAATTTGTTTGGGTATTGCTACTATAAGAACGTAGTTGCTGCTGTTGTTGTTGCTGCTGGTGGTGGAGGGCGTGCAAGCTGTGCTGCAATTGGTTCCAGTGATGTCGCGAGGATAACGGCAGACCCTTGGGCAAATCGCTGACTGTGGCTATATCACCCTGATCCGTGTACGTATTCGAATTCGATTTAGTATCCCTATCCGTATCCGTATCCGTCGTTGTTGCGACTTCGGCGGCACTTTGCGTTGTGATTCGTGTCGTTAGTTTTGCGAAATTGGAAAGTTCGTATTCGAGTGTGGTTGTCGTTGTAGTCGTATGATTTTTACACACACGACTACTACAACCACAGCTTTGGCTCTCCGTGAGTTGGGTGTGTGCATTGTTGTTATTGTTTGTGGGAGAGAAGCGCGCATCAGCTGTTCGGGTTCGGCAGTGAGAGCAGCCATTGCCATTGCTCTCGCCATTAGTGCTCCCGCTGAGCGAGCTTCCAACGGGAATGGTGGTCTTGTAGTAGCCGTGCTCCCGCTCTTTACCGTGGTTGTGTGTGTGCAGTGGCGTTATTTGGCCATTGGAAGGACTCTGGGAATTGTTGGCTGTGGGATATACCGGTGTGCTAAGGGAGAGAGAGAGCAGACAAAACAGGGGGGTGAGTGGGTGGGTGGCGACAGTGGGAGTGAGAGACAGGGAGAGTGGACAATTGTGCTGGCGGCATGCGAGATATGTTCTCTGTCATTCTCTGTAATTCAATTAAAGAAAAAACACTGAGCGCATCGAGTGTGAATGAATGTCAATGCAGGAGTGACAATAACGGCATTGCCAACTTTGTCATCGAAGAAGGGATACTCTTTCAAAGAAAATAAAATAAAAAGTTAAATTTATGTAACCTGAACTACTTTTCCATTTTCAAAGATGGTTTTTCAGAAAGTTTGCAACATGTCGTATGAGTAATATTTTTTTTAGAATTTACATTAACATTTTATTGCAGTACAAAAGTATTACCCACTAAACAAGTGTACTATTTTAAATGTTCAACGGGCTTCAGAATATCTTATTTTATAAAATACTCTTCAAAATTATTTCACCAATTTCGCAACTTTTGCATAAACCTAAATGTAAACATTTCCCAATATTGGCAATTGTCAATTTTTAAAATCTATAAATAGTGTACAAAATGGGATAAGCACACTTTCTAGGAATGGAAAATTTTTGGAAATTGTACGTCCACTTAGCTTTTAGAATAATATTGAAAAGCCATTATGTTTTCATGATTTTATAGTTCAGACTTGATTAAATTTAACTCTTTTCAAATGTTCTTAATTAAAATCTGTGCATGTTTTTTTAAAGACCAATCAATATTGTTTCTACCACTAAAAATCTCTGGACCTGTTAGGGTATTTTCCGTTTGAATTCCCTTATCAAGCTTTTTAAAGCCCTTGCAAAGTGCATACATCATTACATTTATATGTATGCACATATGTTCATATGCAGGCACTTTATTAAGCCCCAGTGAACCCGATGAGGTGATGCACCGCAGACAGGCCTTCGAGATGGGAACCGATAATCAACGTGACAAAGTGACACTGATTATCGCCGATCCAGAAACACACCCTCATGCTCCATGGTCCACTGGTACTCAGCCGATTATGGTACAATATTATTCTTATTATTTTCCACTCACAGCCGTCCAAAGGTTTTTCTGATTCCGGAACAGCGTTGGAGGATCGCGTACATGGCGTGCACTTGTGATGTTCTATTTGTCCTACGTTAACTTTTGGTATTGATATTGATTTCCCCGGCAATTATCTCGCTATATGATTTTTTTTTGTCTGTGTTGCTGCAGCTTTCGTGCTAAACTGAACCACAGTGTTCGATTTGTTTTGCCAACGAGTCTCTTTCTCTTTTACATTTTACACTTTTGCCAATTCTGTTTTGTTTTTCCTCTCTCTTCCTCTCGCAGATTAGTTGGATCGGCTACATATATTCGTAGGCGGGGGGAAATCAGCTGACTGATAAGGGCGGTACAAACACTTATCTATACGTACACTATTAAACGCTGAGACCCATAATAACAACAATAATTACCAGTCTAATCATTTGTCTGGGACCTGGAAAACATTACGATGCGGCGTGAAAAACATGTGAAAAATATTCCTTGAGAACTGCAAATGCCGAAATAATAATAATTAAAGTAAAAAACGAATGCAAATTAAACCTTTATCACTAGCTCTGTTGCTATATTATTTAATATTTTGTTAGCCAATCGGCAAGTCGAGATTGGAACACCCTACAAAATATTACTTAAAATTCCCCATAACTAATTTTTAAAACAAATTGAAAAAGATTACAAAATTTTGAAAAAAAAATCTATCGATAGGAAAACTTATTACTAATTTATTGTTGGTAATCTATTTTTATTAACTCGATTTTAATTGGAAAACTATATGTTCCACTATTTTTTTCTAATATAATAGAGTATTTATTGTCTTCTCACCAACGCTTCCTCCTAAATTTGTCTTCTATGAATAGGTATAAATTATTTAAAGATACGGCCCAAGGCAGAAACCTAATTACGAGCCGGGCCGTATGAAAACCTTAGCCTTAACCTTCAGTGTCCCGAACCGTTTGAATCCCCGCCTCACTTTGCACTTGAGTCACTCATACGCCCGGTGGGTTCGATGTCTGCTCCGTTCAATTATTACACAAAAATTGAAAGTAAAACACGACAGGCAAATAAATTGGAATATTTCACACATGTGTGTGTCCAAGTAACCTTCATAAATATTAACAATTTACCTCAGCTGTGCTTTATAACGATTTCAGTCTTTATTTTGACGAGGACTTTCGTGAGCAAAACACACCTGTCGCTGCTGTTTTTTTGTGTTTAATTCGAAAATCAGTAATTATAGATGAGGATTACCGATTTTATGTCGATGGGCGGCATGGCGCGTGCCAGGATAATTTTCTTTATCGGAGCGTCGATGAGTCGCTCGTAAATCGCTGATAAAATGCTAGTAAACCGCATCATTAAACACTAATGACACCTCAAAATATAGATAAAATGAAGGGGGCGTGATCATGGGCGGTTGTTTGCTTACGGTTTGCATTAGGAAAAAGCCAGGTTATTGCTGGGTTGGTCTACAATTTCAGGAAATACTATACTGGAGGATTTTTTATGAACAGAAAACAAACAAAGAAATATATAATGTAATTTAACATAAAATATATATTTTTTATAATTAATTTAAAAATATTTTTATTGTGACAGGAAGAAAATAAGATTTTTTCCTGAACCCACAAACTTTTAGTCCAACTCTCGCATTTCCTAATTCCTCTTTCAGGTTGCATTTCTTTAAAGATTTTTAGTTTGTGCACTTTTCCACTTCTTTGCTTACCCATTTTCATCGAAATTCCTTATGGCACTGCGATCGGCGCAAATGGAACTGGAATTACCCATTTTTGGTTTTCAATTTTCTTTTAACTCACTCCAGTAAAATAAAAAAAGTTAATTATTTTCCAAAGAGAACAAATACACTCGGAGACTGAGAAAGTAGACCAAAATCGACGAGGGCTTTTCACACGCGAATATATTAAGTTCAAACCCCTTTGTCCACACGGTATTTCGCCTAAATTATTCAAAGCCGTTAATAACTGAAATTAAAAGAGCGTTTTTAGCAATTGCGCTGGACTAAGCAACTCTGAACCGCCTGAAACTGAATCAAAAACTGAACTCGCGCTGGAATCGCAGCTTTTCGAGTACCGGAGGCCACTTGTTAGCGAGCGGCCCAAAGGAGAATGTCCGCTACAGGTGCGAGCAGGAGGGCAGTACTGGCCCCCGCCCCCTCTCCCCCGCGCACGCAGGCAGCACGCGACATTTGCTCGAGAGTTGAGTCACTTCGGGTGGCCCCAGACAAGTACAGTGTCATCTGGCTAAAGCAGATGCCATATAATATCTTATTACAAAATAAAGCGGGTTTCTAAAAACTTTAGGGTTTTTAAATGTTTTTTAAACGATTATAACTAAAAAGAAAAATTAATTATTTTTTTTTTATAATTTCGATAATCATTAATGTTTATATAGTAAAAAACAGATCCGTTTACCAAACTCTATAAATTGATTTAATGTAGATTATTTCTTATTTTATTTTTAGAAGTTAATTTTAATGGATAAAATGTATGACTTTAAGGTCTCCTTTAAGTTCCCATTAAATAAATAATTTAATTCTGGAAATAAATGTTGTTCAGACCACATATTCAGGTTTTGCCGTATTTGATTAATCGTTGCAGCCTTAGAGAAGCTTTGGCGTTGAGTTGGACTTCATTTGGAGTCGCACAAAACTTGAGCGGTTGGTTAATCGCAACGACCTCTGGGCGGCTCACACAAATGCATGAAGCAATTTGTTGCTGGCCAATTAAAAAATAATAATATCAGGTATAAGAGAAGGCAACTCGATGGCTGACCATCGCGTCCCAGTCGGCTGCACTTGGCAACCGAAGAAAATTGATAAGTAAACACAATGGATTCCGGGTCTTTTAGAAATCAGTGAAGTAAAACGAAATTGTAGTGAATTCAATAGTCGGTTTGGCCAATCCATCAGTTTTTTTACTGGCTGTATCTGATTTTATCAACTAATTATTTTACCGTTTCTTCAATTGTCACCTGGGTGACACACGGATTTTAATTAGATTTACTTTATTACTCTCTCGTCTGTACAAGTCAGAATATATATTGCATGAATGTTTAAAAATCTTGTTAAATTGTGTAAATATGATACAAATTAATTACCGTGCTTAGTTTGCTATACTAAATTTATTATTGCATCAGCTGTAATGTGTGCATTGTTTATTGTTTGTAACTTTGCGAAACTGCCACATAAAAAGTTGCAACACGGTTTCAATTGTCGTCAGGGTCAAATGTAATTTAAAGCCCGATACAAACAAATGCATTAACTATGAAAAACATTTCAAAATGAAACCTTAATTTTTGTTAGGAATAGTTAAGCGGCCTACATTAAAACTGTTTAAGAATTTTTTAAAGGGTTTAACACTTTTTTTATAAACCACAGATAACTTTGATGTTTTTAAAATTTTCCATCCACTTGAACTATTTTAAAAAATTTCACTGTTTAAATAACCACAAATAAGATATACCCAAAAAACAAAAATGACCCTGGTTTTTTCGGCGATTTATACAATTGCTTAAACCACAGATAGCTCTTCAGTCTACAAAGTTTTCTATTTACGTACAATTTTATCAAGTTCCTTCAAGTGACCACCAAAATAAATAAATACAAAACTTTATACAAATAATTTATATATAATTATCGGTTTGGCCTCATTTTTAAACTTCTTAACAGAATTAATTGAACACCTGACAAGCACTAAAAAGTAAAAATGTGAAAACATTGATTTTTTGTAATTAAAAAAAATTTTTTTTTAAGATTTTTTTAAAATTTTTTTTTATTTAAAAACCTTTTAATGTTCAATTTTATGGCGGGCCAAAAAATATTCTACCAGTTGAATTGTGCAGTTTCTGAAAGCTTCAACAGATGGCGCTATTCTCTTTTTTTTTTAATAATACGTAGGTGGCGCCAGTGCTGTAGTTCCAGAAATTTCCGCACGATACACAATTAAGTTAATTCATACGAAACTGAAAGAATCAGAGTCGAAATTTACTCGGTAAAAATAAGGCTGTAATTGTTACCCCAAAATATGAACTCCAAAAACAATATATGTTTTCTATTTTCTCTGGCGAAATTATCCAACTTGAAATAGCCTTTCAAATGAAAGTAAATTCGTTGGCAATATTTTGTGCTTTCACTGCGTTGCCATTCGAAAGTGAATCAAAACGCCATATCTTCTACATTATAATATACCAGTCAACATAATGAATTATGATTGTTATTTCAGATGGATCCATTGTGTGTGTCAGCTGTTTTCCCAGGTCCTTTCACATCCTCTACTTCACTATGTTTTTCACTTTTTGCCAGTCTTCAATTTAATAACAACGAGATGAGGGGAAAAGCAACGACGTGCAACAAGCAACAAAGCAATTGAGGGCCACTTTTATCATCAAATGATTTTACCCAGCTAAGCTGGCGCAATTTTCACAGAGACGCATGTGATGAGAAAAACACTAGAAATATTCTGAGCTTAAAAACACAAAAATAAAATATCTTTATATTATTTTATAATATATGTAATGATTTATTTGTATATGAACTATTTGGTGTAAGTCTTCATAATTCATGATTGAAACCGAATATTTTATAAATTCTGAGGTAATAATAAAATATGCAGAATTTAATGGAATTTGTAACAGTGTTGCCAAATTTTTTGGTCTGCAGTGCAATTGCAAAAAAATGCCACTGTGGGTGGTGGTTACTGCATGGAAGTGTGGCGGTAATCTATCATAATTTTTATATCCTAAAATCCCATTTTTGTTATAGAGCAAAAATGTCTTAGAGCAAATATAATAAAATGGCCAACACATCGACGTCGATGTTCGCCAGCCGGAAGGTACAAAGGACGATGGAGGAGCTTCCACATTTATGCTCCTTGTCAAAGGATAACACACACACACTCCTGCCATACCAACAGTATGAAATTCCAGTCATCCGCTGGATTTTTCTCTATTTTCTATTTTCCATTCGCTTTTATCCGTTCCTTTTCCGTCTCTTTTTTTTCACCGCCATCTGTCTCTTTCTATTAGCCTTTGCTTTGCTGGCCGCGTTTTATTTTTCAATGCCTTGACTTGACTTTGGCCAGCACAAAAACGTTCAAATGGCCAACAATTTTATGAGTCTCGCGTACACGATCTCACTTGGACTCGGTCTTCTTCGGGGTCTTCCCATGCCGGAAATGCCAAAATGGTCACAAAATATATAGGATGTACAAGAAAAGTTGCTAGACTAAAAGTTACACTACTGTTCCTGATTTCATATATTTAAATGTATTCATTTGAAAAAAAATTCTGGTTTAAACCGAAATTTTATAGTTTTTTGTGGTACCGCTATTTACTTTATTTTCTAAAACACAACCAAAATGCGTTAATATCCTTGAATTTTTTTTTGATAATTCTTGTTTAAATGTCAACAAAAATGGCCGAAGGAAATATACACTGTTGAATTTTAAAGCCATCAATGTGCCATGAAAATTGTCGGGGACGTAGAGACGAAGAGCAGCCAAAGTAAATTTAAATTAATACGCGATAACTATTTTTTAATATATGGCCAGGTGGTGTCGGGTAGCGGTAAGTCAATATTTTATATTTAAATTAAAAACGGCAACGACCGGTAAAAATGCGACGAAGTAATGCGGCAAAAAAACCAAACGAGCCAACGTGGCGTATAATTAATTTTTAAATAATAATATAAAAGCAGTCAATAAAAAAAGGCAAGACAAAAATCCGAACACCATGCTGCCGTTAAAGTAAAATCAAGAATATATTGAGGTTTGTATTGAAAAAAATCGTTTCCCGCGTTTTAAACGGCTTTAAAAAATCACCGGCTCATCGATGGTAAGGGACTCCGACCGGCTCATTATACATTTACAACTACATTAAATGGGATGGCAGGCGGTGGAAGTCTGGTTGGAGTTATATTCACCGCCGGCCACGCCCACTTGGGAACATCGCCTGCGGGCGACAGGAGTTGGCTTCTCCGCCAGATGGCCGGAATGTCAGCTCCGCCGCCGGTGTCCTTGTTTCGAGGCATGTATTATTGGCCACTTGACTTGTGGGCTTCACGCGCTTTAATTGCAAGTCAAGAAGTTAAAATTTTACTGCAAAATTTCGCGTATTTAAAGGACTGTCTGCTATCAAATGTGGAACTTAAATTGAAAGTTTGACAAATTACAATGAATTTAATTGTTAATTTACTTAATATTTAATTATAAAGGTTATGGGAGCAGTAGTTTTCTATTTTTACTTAAATATAAAAAATGAAATGCTAAACTTGACAAAACAACTTCTTTTTACCTTTAAAATATTTCTAGAAGTCAAAACATATGTTTATTAATTTGAGATAAGTTAAATGTTGATAAAAATATTTTCCTAAAAATGTTAAAAGCTTTAAAAAATGTTTTAGCCGTTAATGTAATTAATTTTTCCCGAACTACTTCCCATATGAAATTATTTCCGTTTGCAAACATATTTCTTCCTTAACACTTTGAATATTCCAATTAATTTCCATTCGAGACATATTTATGGGCAAGTTGGTAATGTTTTAGCGTTGGAAAAAGAAGGGCAAAATGGAGACAAAGAAGCGACAATCAATTTAATTAAAACTTTTAACAAGCTTTGCATCATTTCACTTTCTCTCGGTTAGGCGCGTCTGTATGGTGTAAGTTGCCAGTAGGCTTTCGATTTTGGGACTTTTTTGGTTTGCTCGCGGATATGGCAACGTTTCATATTTGATATTAATTAAAAAGTTTACGCTGTCTGCTTGCTGCTTTAAAACAAATTGTTGTCGAAAGCAA